TATATATTACCTATATATATATATTCTCAAATACAAAATGTCCTTTGCGTCTGCCTGAACGTGATAAAAGAGACAAACTACCAAACGTTTTTCTTTACATTTTCACCAAAAAACAGGATCATTGAGTCGGGTCTCCAGTGTATAAAGGATCTTAGTTATAAAGGTGCTAAGAACTAATCTAGTACATTAGGTAAATGAGAGGAAAAGCCTCACAATTTGCATAATCTTCGGTTCACATTGACCTACAAAGCCTTCATCAATCCTTTAGGAATACAAATGTCGTAATTGAAAATCGTTAAAAGGTGAATTCGTGACAGTGTTGCCATGCAACAAGGTTAGACGCGACATACCTTTCAACTTACGATGTTTAATAAATAATAAGAAAAATGTATGTAAGTACATACATACATTATGATATTACATTGTCACTTTTTACGGTGACAACTGACAATATATTTCTATTGACTTTTAGATAAAATAAATAATTAATTGTACTTACTTAGTATGACTATCGAGCACGTGTTCCATATTCAAAATAGTGTATAATGATAATTCGAATTCGTTTATGGTAATGTAACCTTTTTGTTTGAATAGAAAGTTACACACCCGACTATTATTTTCCCCTGTATGGTAGGTGCATACAAATAAAGGTACAAATTCCCTTACATATTTAACGTTTTACTTCCGACTTTTTATGTCATAACATAAACTATAAATATGATAAAAGACATTATCCGATATGACAATATATCATCACACTACACTATATATTATTTGTTTTCTATCCCATTATTTATTTGTCACTTCGCCGAACATTATATTTGTCCCATAGGTAAAAAGTATGTGACTTTTCCTCAATATTTATTTTTGTGAGTGACAACATCACACTATACAGTAGGTATTAGTTTTCTTCGTTAAAGTATCAAAGTATGTATAATATTGTTTTTGATTATACATTATGTAGTTCTTACACTTTTGACTAGTATGTTATGCCTTACATTACTTATTATTAATTGGTGTAAGTAGTCGTACAAACCTCTCATAGCATAAAAAAGATTTTTTTATGTAATAGGTCGGCAAACGAGCTGACGGATTACCTGATGGTAAGCAATCAGCGCCGCCCATGGACATCCGCAACGAGTGTGTTGCCGAACTTTTAGGGATTATTGTTTTGGAGATTTAGGGATTGGGGGGGATTGGACCTCCGGTAACCTCACTCAAACGGCGAAACACAACGCTGTGATTGTTTCACGCCGGTTTTCTGTGAGGCCATGGTGTACTTCATACTCCGGTCGAGCCGACCCATTCGTGCCGAAGCATAGCTCTCCCACACTTATTGAAAAGTAATCAATGTTATCCAAACAGGCGTAGGCGTAGATAATGTTACAATAAGAAATATCTAATTACATTAATATTTTATTAATAAATAAGAAAGCTTTGATATAAGGACGACGTGAGGAATATGAAAGAAGCGTTTCAGATCAACTTCTTCGAGTTAATCAAAGTTACAAGAAAGTTATGCTTTTGGCTCTTAATGTGATTATTGGCGAGGATTTCTAAACTTTGCCAATATAAAGTATATACATATATATATGTATATATACTTACTTTAATATATCTTGTGGAGTTTTGGCTACTTTGATCTCGAAGTATTATATAATTTGGATATAAATTTGAAAAATATCGTAATACATGCTTAATTATTAGGAAAATCTGTCTTATGTAATGTAATAAAAGATGCATTTTGTTTGTTTGTTCATAGCATTTGGTAGATCACAATATAGGGTGAAAACTTTTCTTTCTCGTAACTTGATTCCTTATCTTTATGAGGTGTATGGGGCCGTTAATAAAAAAGTAGAAGTCACTACACAGAAGACACCTAAGCTTTAAAATACATACCCATTGAACTGATCGTGTAAAGAGGTCAAGTATACGGAATATATGTATAGGTATAAATCAAGCAAATATGTATGTGCTCATATATTGGAAAAGGACAAAGGCAGGGCTTATGGCGTAATCTCTTTACCAAACAGAATTCGGACACCTAGCAACAGAATCCCATCATCTATTGACACAAAAGACACATAATCTTCTCAATCTGTTGCCTATTTCGACAATTCGATATAAAAAACTAAGTTATCTTTCCGATTGTGCCACTCATTCGTCCGGATGTCAAGTAAAGTGATTGATAATTCAAATATAAAGATCACGTGAAGCTTCTGAATATTTCGTGATATTTTCAGTCAAGTGATGTAATTTTTTTGTAGGTTATCGTGAATGTTGTAGGTACTTGTGTTTTTCAGTAGTACGGCTGCTCAGTACAAAGTTTATATTCACGGTTTATAACGTGGATGATATCCGCGAATCCTCCAAAGCATTGTTCTAAAGTTAAGTCTTTAACCGTATTTTTATTACTGTGGAAACACGAAAGCCTAGTGTGAGTTTTATCCACATTAACGCTCTTCGTTCTGATTGGTTGGTTCACTTAGTGTTAGCCAATCACAGCGTCGAACGTTATTATCGTACCTATCGTCTTCACTTAATGGAAACACGCAATAGACACTTGGTTACCTACATTCATCATATTACAAGTGTTTTAGACCAAGCTATCTTGATTTCCTTGTGAATTATTGCAAACATACAAACTAAAGACTAAAATTATAACGTTAAGCTTTATAACTGTCATGACATACTTACGAAGCAGTACTTTATGCTTGCAAATAACATTTCCACATTCGTTGCAGAGTTGAGCTTAATCAAAAACACACACGATGAACACATGAAGTTCTTCCTTGAATAATTTGGGTTGAAATTGAAACTGCCAGCTTTGCAAGTTACATGAGAACTTATTTCCGTGAACATTTTCTTTAGAAGCAAAAACAAGAACAGCTGATCCCTATTTAAATTTAGCGTACGAATAAAATGTTTTTCACGATAGCTTTCTATTTATACACAGTGGATGTCGTTTCAACGACAACATAATACCTCTACTAATCCGTATTCTCGAACACTTCCAGCAAAAAGATTACATTTCAAAATGCTTTCGTTCAATTTTACGTATTTTATACTAATCTAGTGTCTCAAAAACGTTGCGAATAAACATTTGAAAATCGTGATGACATGTAATGTTTTAAATGAATTTCTAAATAACCTTAGCCAACTGTAACAAACTCATTTAGAATGTGATAAAGAGTTTGTTTGTTTGTTATGATTGAAAATCACATTAATTATATACAAAACCAGCTAACCCGAGGCTTTGCTCCCGTCCCATGTCCTTCTCCCAGTTCATAGCTACCTCCCTACCAATTTTCAGCAAAATCAGTTCAGCCGTTTTGAGTTATAAACAGTGTAACTAACACGATTTTTTTTATATATGTTGTTGAATTTTAAAGGCAGATATGAATGTAAGTTACTCTTAACGCGATTTAATTTATCAACTAGAGGATCTTTTACCAAGGATTCTTCAAAGATCTATACAACATTACTTTTGAGTTAGATGTGCTGCCCCATCCCCTCGGATGTTCAATTAGAATTCTGAAAGTCGTAGCTTATCGTATTTTTTTCTTATATACAAAATTAAGTAGGTACCTATCATTCGTAGTACTTAAAAGATACTAGAAGCAAAAGGTCGCATTTGAGTAAGTATATTACGAAGTTGAGTCAATTTCATTATGCGAATATTATAGCCGATATCGTTCCATATTTTTATCTTTATTTCTTTATACTTTTGTATATAGACTTGGGTAGTGACACGATTTTATTTTTCCTACCCTTTTAACCCTTCTCAAATATAGGTATATTGTTGAATCTGTCTCGCACGGTCTCAAAACACATCACATCATTATTCAAGTAAGGCACAAATTTTATTTGACAGACGTGATAAGTTAGGTCTTTGGGGTTGCTTAGAATTCTGTGCAAAACTAGATACTTACATTACATACAGTTAAAAAAGAGCATGTTTCAGTGCAAGTTACCTTAACAAGCTTTAAAGTTTCTTTGTTAAAACTCGTGCTAATGATTGTACTTCATGTATGTTTTACTAAGGCAGAAATGCAAACTAAACATCATTAAACGTAACAAAAGACAAACTAGACAGAGAAGAATTTATACTGGTTTCATTTTTGCTATTTATTTCAATGTTATTAGACAAGGGGCTAATTTTTCAATGGCTAGATAAAAGTTATCTGGGGAATAATTATGATGCTGTCACGTGAGAATGTTTGTATAAGACATGACAGCAACAATTTTATTCCTCAGATAACATTTATCTGATTATTGAAAAATCAGCCCTAATACGGTTTGTCAACAGAAACCCTTCGACTTAACACAACTTTGATTTTCTCTTTGAACTTAGAACTACAAAGAAAGGTATGATGGACAAGACAATGGGCAACAAACATAACGATGAACGTTTTTAATCTAAGCACTGCCAACCGTTTGTAAAGAAAGCCCTCGCCCGAGCTCTTTAATTTCTCTTATCGTTGTAAAGAATTTTTCTCTCGTGTCATTGAATGGCAAGGGAAGCCTCTTTGACGTCGTCTTTCATTCCATTGTCTCCGTGTTCCTTTGTTTAGTGGTTGCGTATTCTCCCATTTCCATACTCCATCGATATTGTACCTGCATGTGCCTATCATGTTAACCTACTTTGTTATAAAAGTGTGACGTTATTGTCCAGACTTTAATGATAAGCGATCGATGACAGAGATGGTTTTTAAAAGAGTTTGTTTATATTTGTTAGTATTTAGGACAGGTTAGAAGGTGGTTTAAAAACAGGATAACCTGAACTAAAAAAATTACAATTTTGAAAAATTCGTAACTCCTTCCGATAGACTTGTACAAAATGTAATTCTCGCTTACTCATAGATAACGTATATACAAAAAATCCTGCCTACAAGATTTAGTTTTAACTTTCTCATTTGATGTTTGACTTTTAGTCTGAAAAAGTTTTTACTTGTCTTAAAACAAACAATGATTTATCAAAGTTTAATTTTCCTTTTCAGCCGATGGCATGACCTATTCGTTCGGCGTGTTTTATGCCGAGTTCCTGACCTACTTCGATGAGGGCAAAGGCAAGACAGCGTGGATCGTTTCTATCCTCGTGGGCGTCACACTAAGTTCGGGTAAGCAATCAATTTAATACACAGTAAGTCTGGCTTTCAGCATTGACATTCACCACGGGCGAAATAATGATCCTATCAACTATGTGCTTATACGTCGGGACCCAAGAGAGCTCGACCCAAATGATATGTGTAATGTATAGTATACAATCCTAAGTATCTGTAGACTTTGCTGTTACATTTGGTAAATTAACTTCTCTCACACAAAGGGTTTACACTACAGAGTCGTTAAAGAGAGAGGAGCTGACTGATACCAGGTTCTCCGTTCAGAGTGTATTAGTGTGATGTTCTGTGTGTAAAAAAAGATTGTTTCGCTAGATTGTTTCTCTTTGATAGACAGTATTAAATATAAGCTGTTTAAAATTATGCAAAAATGGGGAATTCACAGAAATATGCGCATGTAACAAATGAATCATTTTGCTGATACGGTTTGAACTCTGGTCCTCATAGCATGTGCGAGATAAAAACATCATTATAGGAAACAGAGCATTTATTAATTTAAAAGAATGACAAGGAACAAACTTAAGTCTAATGTCAATAAAATTGGACTATTTCAGGGCCCATATCAAGTTCGTTCGTGAACCGGTGGGGATGTCGCGCAGTGACGGTAGCTGGGGCGCTGCTTGCCTCCACCTGCGTCGTCCTTTCGGCCTTCGCGAACAACGTGCTCACGCTCATCTTCACCATCGGGGTCGGCACGGGATTCGGCTTCGGTCTCATCTACCTTCCCGCCATCGTCAGTGTCACAGTATGGTTCGAACGCTACAGAAGTCTTGCTACTGGTAAGCGATTTAGAATAAAGAAGAAGAAAGAAAAAACATTTATTTATTAAACATTTATTTACAAAATCTAAATAAATATTTCATTTATAAGTTTTTTTTACTAGCCTGTAATGTCCCACTGCTGGGCTAGGCGTCTAGATCGTCACGCCATCTTTTCCGGGGCCTACCTCGCCTGCGGCTTTCATCCTGAGGTGTCCACTGGGTGACAATAGTGGCCCATCTCTCCGGATGCATTCGGCTGACGTGTCCGGCCCAGTCCCATTTTAATTTTGTCGCCTTTTGGCCCACATCAGCGACTCCTGTTTTGGAAGTAAATACCTACAAGTATATACCTACTCTAAAATTATTAATTATTATCTTCTTTTCTAGGTATTGCAGTCTGTGGTTCCGGACTTGGAACATTTTTATTTGCACCAATCACATCGGCTTTAATAGAGAACTACGGGTGGCGCGGTGCTATGGCCATCATCGGTGCCTTAATATTAAATTGTGTGCCACTAGGCCTCATTTTCAAACCTGTTCCCGAACCCCCCAGGACTCCAGCATCGGAACCCATGCTACCCAAACAACCAAAGTCTCCACTAAAAAGATCTCAAAGTACAGAACATGTCCTCAGAGCGAATGGAAAAGTTGATGACAATGATATTGCGAGACTGACTCTATCCCAGCCTGCTTTAAACAAACCACATGAACAGAAGCCTCCGCCCTCGCGGCACGGTAGTGGTATCATGCAGAGGCCCGACGTTCTATATCAAGGCAGTATGACCAGTCTCGCTAGGTTTAGATCAACGTCTCCTGAAAGAACATTTACTACCGTTACAAAAGAAGAACCAGAGGTCAAATGCGGATGGTTGCCATGCTCAACAGAATTTAAAGCCGCACTAGGAGAAATGCTTGACGTATCGCTGCTCGTGGATCCAATATTCATTTTATTCGCTATATCAAACTTTTTAACAAGTATTGGTTTTTACATACCGTACGTTTACACTGTACCAATGAGCGAATCACTTGGAGTCGAGAATCCACCTTACCTGATTTCCATAATCGGGGGATCTAACTTGGTGGGCAGAATAATTCTCGGTTACATAAGTGATAAGCCGTGGGTAAACCGATTACTGGCTTATAATTTGTGCCTTACAATTGCAGGAATCGGTACGTGAACTGAATTCACTTTCTTTGATAAATATGATTGTTGAATACTTGATATAAGAAATTTACTTATAAATACATATTTTTCAGGTACGGCAATGGCCATGGCGTGCTGGGAATTTTGGGGTCTTGCTTTATATGCTACGACGTTTGGGTTTACTATCGGCGCCTACGTAGGACTGACCTCAGTTGTGCTTGTGGACTTACTAGGCATCGAAAAGCTTACAAACGCATTTGGTCTTCTTCTTTTATTCCAAGGAATTGCCTCCCTAATCGGGCCACCATTTGCAGGTAATTTATATGGATGGTTTCTTTGAAATTCTAATATAGGACTTCATTAATTCCTTTAGCTGATTTTTTTATCGTTTTCTTTTTCAGGGTGGCTGTTTGATACGCTCCATTCGTACGCGCCGGGCTTTTACGTGGCTGGTGGCACAATATCACTGAGTGGGCTGATATTGTTCTTTATCCCGGTGATCGAAAGGCGCCAGCAGAGGCGGTGGGAGGAGAGCACGGCGCTGGAGCAGATATAGCAGGACGCGCGCGCCTGCCCGGCCATCGTGCTGTGCAGCCCCTCCACGCGCAGTGCGAGCTCGGCCTGCGCCAGCTCCTCCAGCTCCTCCTACACCAACAGGGTATACAACACTACAATAATAGGTGACAAAAATAATTATTATGTAAATGATGAAGATTATGACTTTGTAAATATCGATGCGATGGATGAATGCGACGAACGTTTCGGTATCGACTATCGAACCCATTCCAGAGGAAGTGTTGTGTGTGTGCGTGATTTGTGAATACGTAGTTAATAAGAAAAAAAGGTGCAATATAAATGTTTATTTCCATCTTTGTATCAATTTGTTTTATTTAAACTTAAAATATTTAAAGTGCCGCTATGATGCGTTTCCTATGAACTGCAACCGATCGATTTAACTAGCTGTAAGTAGTAAGGTGTATAATCTAAATATATCTATGTATAATACACAATTAATCTTATTGTATAGATAGGATTACTGTAAATGTTGATAGTAGACCGAATTTTCTTGGAGAAATGTATAAAAATAAAATTGGCTGTTATTTGGCACTATCAATGAATTGAAGTACACAAGTGAATAGTTTCTTGAGATAAATATTGACTAGTCTACTGTACTGTGTGCGAGCAATCTTAGACCATAATACATGGCCTTACTGTGGACCAATCGTGGGTAGGATGTGATGTCATCAAAAGTACCTAGTAAAGGCATATTGTGCTTTTTGCAAGTTTAGAAGTAATTAATCGACTACCTAATATTTCAGCCATTTCATAACGTTCTTGGGCAAATATTATTTTCTTTTTTAAGTAGGAATTATTTCCACGTTGTGTTCAGTAGTATAATTTTTTGGTTAGGACTAGGTTGGATTCATAATCTTCGTTCACTAAAGTATACAAGTAATGTACATTTCGACTGAATTAGGTATCTAACCATACAATGTATCATACTTACGTACTGTGTAACTGGACTGCGCTGATATTCTTCGTACAAATCTTTTCACTTTGTATTGTATTGTTGGCAATCTTGTAATCGTATTTAATACGGTTCCACGCATTATTTAATGTTACTATTGTATTATGTATACTATACATAAATATCTAAAATTATAATATATTTAAACTGTCTCGACGTTTGTTTTTAATCCTGTACCCTTTACTACCTATAAATGTACCTGTGATCGTTTATACTATGTACAGTGAGGGTCAAAAGTGCAATTGCACTTTACCAATGTTAATTTGTCTAAACATTTTTTATAGTTGAGAATCAGAGGTTCTTTGACTGATTAATTTTTAGCATAGATTTTAAAGTAATTGTTTGTAAACGCACCCAAGACGCAGGAGAAAATCCTAGTGTAGGGCACTGTTTATATAAAAAGAAAGAAAAGCAAAAATTGAAAACAGGTTTTAAGACACTTTTTGCAGTCTTTCCGTCCGAATACAATTTAGGTGTCTTCAAGGCTAGAGTGCAAGGCTCTTAATAAACTAATGCGCCTTACCATCAACGATTGCATCACTGTTTACCATCAGGTGGGATCGCAGTCAAGCACTAGTTTATTGCAAGTAAAAAAAAGTAAGATTCTTGAACTTGTATTACAAAGAAGTTGCGAAAAGCGAAAATGTGTAATTTCGCATTTGTAGAGTGCAGTGCGCTTTTGAACCTAGACCGTACATATGCATACATATTCTTAAGATAATATAAATGCTATATGACATTTATACATTTATACATTTATAAAACTTAGAACAATACGGTCTACAATTACTGTCCATGAATCTAAATCATGAATCTGTTTTTCCGTCACGCAAAGTCTCAGTAACTTAAAGGAATGATAAAGTACTGGTCCTAAATCAAGGAAATCAAGTACTAACGTAATTGTTACAACAGTCACATGTGCAATAAAACCTTCGCAGGTAGACCTTCATTACATATTCCTATTTCAGTAAAGGGACCATGCACATTGCTGTTATGTATACAACCTTACACAAAGTTATGAACGTAGCTGCGTTTTACTTTGTAGAATGTTTTTTTTTTCTTACATATAGTTTAAGGATTTTTCACAGTTTTGACCTTTAAAAATGTGAGTAAACTCCTACCTCCATAGACTGAAATATAGGTCAATAATTAAATGCAGCTATAAATTAATATTTATTGTAATTAACGATTTACTCACGTGAAACGTAGCTTTAAGTCAGAACGGGACTCTTATTCATGAGCTATGTGCGCGTCAGGACTGGAAACTAGAAGAGCTTGTCTCTATTCAAAAATACAGGCCTATATATCTCTCCGAAAGCTGCAACATGGTGAAATAATAAACATAGTAGGTATCGGTGGTAATATTATAAAGAAGTAAAATTTATAAGTTTGTGAGTTTGTATGTAGGAAGTAATCTTTGGAACCACTGATCTGATCCCCAATATTCTTTCACTTATTGGTAGCTACAATGTTCCTAAGTGATATAGGCTATAAAACATCAAATAAAAAATGAAGAGTACGTGGATAGGGTGTTTGTTTATCTAAATCACTATAAATTAATATTCAAGAAAATTATGCACTTGAATACAATGTAAGGAATGACAAAAGTTACGAATAGTCTTAATTTTGAAAAATGTCTACTACATCCAGGAATACAAACTTAATCATAATACAGAATACAAATTTAATCACAAGTCATAGTTAGAAATTTATTACAATCAGAACTTAATCGCTCTTGTTATCATTTCCAACTTCATAATCTCGCAAGTTGAACATCTTACTGCGCACACGATCGTCAACGAGAAACAGTGCTATTGCGGTCAGCGCAGGCGCAACCTGGAATACAAACTAAGTACAGTGTTACGCTTCCTTAAAATTACATTTGTCATTTTAAATATAGCACAGAGTAGATAATCAGTAATATTTTAACATTTAGACAGTACAGAAACCTTTTTCCAATATGCTATAAATCGTAGACAGAGAATAATTGTTTTCTGTATGTACGGGTATAAATACTTCTACACGTATGGCGAGTAATCCTTTTGGCATTTTCTGAGCAAAAAAGTCGGACTTAAAAATTATTTACAATCTCTTTCTTTTCTTCAAACTTTTCCCCACGCTAATATTTTTTTGCTGCGTCATTGGGTTAAAACTCACCATGAACACCTCAATAATGCAATCACTATTCACAATTTGTGTTCGAATAGCATGCACACCAATAAAATTGTAAGCACTCTACCTTTAAAATTGCCAAACAAACTTACACGCCACATTCTAGGAAAGTGACCCAAGCACCAATTTCCTAAACTTACGCATCTCCTCCATCATATCAATATCTACTTTTTGCTTTGAAATTTGGACAAACAAACAAAACAGACACATATACTGTCCCATTTGTAATATTGAAACAGTTATCGTTTACAATTCAGATTTAGTGGACATTTTCAGCATACTAAATTTCCATTTCTCTGATGTCAATTCAAAAAACTATATAAGTAATACCCATTTTACGAGTTATACTGAAGTTGACCTCACAAAAAGAAATCAATGTTTGCAAAATAAAATACATTATAAAAGAAAATGTATGAGTAAACATTGAAGATAGCTAAGTGTATAAACAAATTCAAAACCTCCGCGGTTGCCCCGGGCTTTCCATCTATGCCATGTCAGGGGCGTAACCGGGTTTACCCAACTTTTGTTCATATTATGCTGAATTGGTTCACTCCGGTGCGAGTATAAACATGTGTCAACAACTCGCTAAAAGGTAAAAAGGGATTGACAATCGACTTGTTACAACGTCAGTATAAACATACGTTTATAAAGTATTTAGAATTTTTTTTTTTTTATATCTATACAAGCTGACCTGGCAAACGTTGTGTTGCTGTATAAATTATTTATCACTTAGGGGTATGAGTACCATGAATGCCAGTCGTCAATTCTTAGCATATAAAATATGGTAAAAATCAGTAAAGCCGTTTCGGAGGAGTAAGGTGACACGAGAATGTTATATACCCATTAGATTAAACTGACAAAAAATACTAATTTGGATGAACAGCCTACTTTTTATTTGGTCTGACAGTAGTAAAAAAGACGGTTTCATTCAGCCTACTACTAATTCGGCGAAAGAGTTTCACTTCTTAAAATCCCTTAATACCAAGACTAGACTAGACTTCTTTTAATTAAGTCCACTTACTAACCACTGTCATTTATCACTCGAAGACATCGACATGATTTATAGTATATAACTCTTATATAATGTAATTAAAACACACAAGACTCGATCTTTATCAATGCACATACTCAAAACACGTGCATTTATAGATTTATCATTTAGCATCAAACCGTTTAATAGAACGATTGCGATTTATTTGGCAGCCTCCATTTTAATCTGACTCATAGATGAATTGGCGTCTTGTGAGTTGAGTCTGTTACGTCACTCTACATAATGATTATACTAAATTAATTTGATGCGTACGTTTGTACATACTATTTGATGCTTCATTAAGGAGGTGCGAGTGACGCCAGGTCGTAATTATAGGTTGAAAGATGAAGTTCGATGCTCGGGTTGAGATGTGTTGACGAATTTAGTGTAACAGCATAAAGCCTCATGTTTTAAAGAGAACATGTCCCGATATGAAAAATATCCTTAATTCTCTATAGCCGTGGGTTTAACTGTGGAAAGCTGTGCTAATGCCATATAGACAGTACCGCATATGGACCCCGCAACAACGGAAGAGTTACGAGTGCGTTGCCTACGTTTTGAGGATTAAGGATTTGGAGATCTTGGTATTGAGGGAAGGGAATGATTGGGCTTCCGGTCTCCTGTAACCTCACTCACACGACGAAACACATTTCGATGTAATCAAATTCTGCTTCAGAAACATACATAAATACTCAAACACTAGCATAGATATTGACTGCAAGCTAAATTAAAGAATCGTGTAAAAAATAAATACACTATTTTGCAAATAAAAATGTAAGTAGACCAGAACTCACCCAATGAATCCACAAAGCCCACGTGATGTAAACTGCTGAAGGTACAGGCGGTACCTCCATATGCATCCAGAAGGATAGGACCACATAAGCTCTGATCACTGCAATAGGTGTCCAGCACAATAGGTTCAATATTGTTATTACTGAAACACTCTGAAATTAAGATAAGTTAATGTTACTGAGTAATTTTATACAATAGTAGCTACTCTCACGCGGTTTCACCCGCTGCTGGGCTCCATATGATCGTAGCGTGATGTTTAATAGCCTATAGCGGTCAGGAACATTGTAGCTAATTATCAGTGAAAGAATTTTGGCAATCCGAGCAGCTGTTCCAAAGAGTATCCCCTACATACAAAGTAACAAACTTACAAATTTTACCTCTTTTTAATATTAGTATAGATTAGAAAGAGGTAAAATTTGTAAGTTAGTGTTCCTGAGTGCTATAGGCTATAAAATATCAAGCTACGATCAAATGGAGCTGAGCAGCGGGTGACACCGCGCGAGAGTAGCTAGTATTAGTATAGAAGCATAGATATAGATTTGAAATAAAACCTGCACACGTAGCGAATAAAAGAGTTTGTTTATAAAAAGTTAAGAAAACAACAGCTACGACTCACTCGAGTAATATGTTGATTCGTCATACAGCATGGAAACTTTCTCTCTAAGAACCGAGCCCATACAATCATCATCACCCTGAAATATATTACATGTGTTAATTTATATTTTAATACAAATCACATTAATATTGGTTTGCTGTTAGAAATAATGTTAATGCTGAACATTTTAAATCCTCCAGGTACTTAATTACCATTCTGAATCAAGCCCATCTTCTATGAAGTGCTTATTTCAATTCAATAGACGTGCCTTTGCAGCCTCTCCAATTTAGTTAGATTTACACAAGGGAACTCGTTGCCAAAGCAAATTAGATCACTAATTTATTGTTAACAACGTTAATGTTCTTGTATTGAGTAGCAATTAGAATCTCTATCTTTTATAATACTTACATAACAATCGCTGGTTTGATGCTTCGAAGGAAGAAAATGGCAAGGATGAAATATATCTGCCAAGTATCTGGCAGCACCATGTCGAAGGTGAATGATGTACAGTCGAAATCATATCCATACTTCCCAAAACCAAACAGCGGTGGAATAGAGTACAGGCAAGAAAAGAACAAGCAAAGACAAGTAAACAAGTAGTAATGTTTCTTTTGCATTTGCCAACCTTGAAAATGACGAACACAAAGTAGATATTGTTTACAATAACAAAAGAGAAACAATAAAATAAAAAGAAGGCATACTAACCACTAGCGATGTATTTTGAAACCACGTATCTTTCAATGCAGACGTGTGTCAGGCATTCGACCTCGAACACTGCCAAAAACGTCTCCACGAAAGCAAAAACATCACAAGAGAATTTTTGAAATCCGTACAAACTGTAATTAGAACACATTGGACAGTATTTCGAATTGTAATAACTAACGCAGTGGCTACTTAAATAAAACACTCATACTTTGGTAGTCAACTCAAATTGTGTAGCAACTTAAATTCAATATAATTAAAAGAAGAGAAGAAAGAAAGCAAAGAGTGTTCGCAAAATGCCATTAACTTTATGCGATTCATTCTCTACTAACTAATTTCTATGTTAACTACAAAAGGGTCTGGGACCTTCACTAATGGCAGACACTAGGAATAAATGAATAAACAAAATATCTTTCGATGCAAATACATTGTTGCCTTCCAACTCACGTTTCAAAGAAGTTGACAAATGGCAGGTGTAGGATAATCGGTACAATACGTCTGATACAAGCTACCACGATGAAATTAGCCATGTTGTGATAACTGTCATCAGTTCGAAGGTTAGTGAACAGGAGGATCACGCTTAACCAGAAACTAAATATTACTGCTAATAGTCCTGAAAAAATATGTATATAAGTATCATATTTACTTGTTATACTTAATACGCCTTTATCAGTGAAGCTAAATTAAGACACTATAATTATAATTAGTGAAACATTTATATAGTCAATAGCCATGAAACCCAATCTAAATAGAAGCAACATTTCCTTACCTGTAATTAAGTAACCTTGTTGCAAAACAGTTCTCTCGTCATTACTAAATACGCCTTTCCACGCGCAAGTATCTGCCATCTTTTGTAATCCTGTGAAAGTACTCCTTAATGTTGATCTCCGAGAAACGTTAAGGAGCAAGTGTGAAGCACTATACGGTGGGGCAAGATAACGAACGTATGGCAAGACTCAATGCAATCCTGATGAGTACGAAACCTGAATCTCAAGTCGCATCTTAAGTCTAAGCCACAACACCAGTTGTTTCATGCTCTGCTTCACTCATTGTCCATTTAAGTACTTGACAGAGCTGTACATGAGCATATGTACTTGCAGAACAAACGACAACGCAATAGTAATGTTAGAAATTGAGGTAGCAATAGACAGTCCATGTAACTTAAACTTTTATTATAAGCGTAGGGATACATTTCAAATGTTTACAAAATTGTTTTATAGCATCACGTAGGTACTACCGCTGGTCGTTTCTTGGGAGAGCGTCAATTGTGAGACCTCCGATTGGGACCCTATAGACATGTATATGTGCAAGGGTATTTCGTCCTCTTGCTATGCTCTGTTATACCGCTTGGCTCGTTCTGGTTGCAGAAGGGCGTAATGTTTGCGCATGCGCCCAAGGAGTGCAGCGCGAATTCTTTCGTCTCCGGCAAGAAAACATAGGACTGGTACACTTGTTGCGGCCTAAAATAAATTTATAAGATTTTCAATATAGGAAAGAAAGTAATAGAAAACTTAAATTAAATTTATGTTGGCAACGTTGAAAGACATAAATTGTAATTTTTAAAAATTGATAGTAATTTTCGAAAATAGATTCATATTTTAAGCACCGTTACGTCGACAAAAATGTGTCTCTCATTGACCATACCTCTGAAGAAATGGATGCAATCAAAACTAAGGCTGGTGGGACGTGTGGTCTGTAACCGTATATAAGTAACGGTAACCACTGCCAGCCAACCAAGATGGCTGCGGGGATCCACAACGCCAGGGTAACCACAGAAATAGCATGAAGACTCTGGAATGACATACAAATCTAATAAATAATACAGCAAAAAACATAAATCATTGAAAATGTAAACTAGTAATAAAGACAAACCTGCGTTAATCGTGTTTGTTCCTTCTGCTGTTCTCCTTTGTAGAATATCCTTTCTAATCGCACAGTCTTCCCCATGTACCAAAATCTACCAACAATATGAAAGACTTAGTCAACCCAATAGAAATAGGCATTATAAATATACCCATGTTGAAAATATTAAATATTTTCTACTTACATAGCAATGACAGGCACAACACCACATATGAGTATATAAGGTATGCTGTATCCTATATGTTTAGCTCCAGAAGACGATGATGGGAAGAGAAAAGTGCAAGTGGTTCCACTAGCATCACAAGAGTATTTTCCATATCCAAATAAAGGAGGAGTTGCAAATATAACTGAGTTACACCAACTGACGCCCACTAATGACCAATAAAATCGTGCATATAGTGATCTCTCTGTAATATGAATAAGTTTATACTTGTAAATATATTTCAATGTCTGTTTTGCGATATATATTAATATATTTTGATTTACATACCACGCCTGTAGAACTTTGCTAGTAAATACCGCTCGAAAACTGCCACAAGTAATGCGCTCATTTGAAAGACACCAAAAAATTGATTCAGAAATGCAAATAGTTGACAGCACGATGGACCAAATAGCCATCTAAAACAATATTAATTACACTATAATAATGCTAATGACAAATGCTTTGGCCATAATAAAAATAATGAACTTAAATCATATTTACCTTTTTGCTATCGCTGATGATCCAGCAAATGGAAATCCAACGAGATTTCGACCAAGTGACGCTGTGCACAAATTAAGTACCAGAATATGACTTCTATACACAAGCAGGTGACTGTGGATGAATGTGGCAAAAAGCCAACCGTTGAGCAGCACCCCGAACACACCTATTGAATTATGACCCACATTAACATAATTTAATGCAAACACACATACTATACACTTCTCCAAAATTTATGGATCGCGACTTGTTTTATGTCCAGTATTACGATTCTTGGGGCAACTAATTTAATAACCAACCGAATATGAAAAGGCAAGCTCCCAGAAGCAGTTTGTAAGAACTATCGAAGTAATACCACGGACAGTCATCTTCAAGATCGTCAAACAAGTTTTGCATCTCTGAGGAACAGGCACTATGTTCACTGCGGGTCAGGCACCGTGGATAGAGTTCGCGGGGTGATGGCAATTTGTATTGGGCATTTAGATTATTTTTCATAAACACATAAACGTCCACGTAGTTCAAGTGGTTACAGAGACTGGTCAGGTTGTCGAACCACCTAGTAGGGACTTACTCCAACAAAGGGAGTGGATTTAGTTACATTCGCTGACGCCACTTTGTGCGCGCCATCGAGGGCGTGAACGTGCCTATGTCCTGCTACCGTGAACAAACTAAAATACATACTTGTCGAAACATGTCTATAACTTTTTATAGAGTTTGTTGACTTTGCATGTAAAGAAAGGCCTGCAATATATTTTAAAATAATGAGTCGAGACCAATACAAATATTGCCGACTAAAACTTAGATACATAGCTATAACAATAATGTTTTATTAAGTCAGTTTTAGTATCAAAACTCTCGTAGAATAAGGGAATATCTAAAATAAAACATCCGTCTACTTATTTTATGTATTTTTCTTGGCATCAGAGTTTCTTTACAGGCAGTAAATACCAACCAGTTATCAATAACAAATGATTTAGCCTCTCCGATGTATTAATTGAAAAAACAATATTTTTTCATAATTAAAAAGAAATCATGTAAAAATAATTGCGTTTCGTTCATTACCTAACGAGAACGCCTACGCAGATGATTTGTAAATATATTTAACCTCAACAGTGAGCTCCTAATATATTTCATTTCCCACCGATTTAAAAATAGTGATCAACTAGACTTATATTTATCCATAGGTATTTGAGTTCTTCCCAGATGTCACGTCTTCGTCTTTCACACGTTTGTAGGACGAGCTCAGGTAACCGCTGAGTCGTGAGATACGAGAACGTCGAGCGAACGAAGCTTGTACGTAAATTACCTGATAATCTATACGTTATTGGCTTGGCAACGCCCGTGAAGAATACGTCAGGTCCGTATACGTGCTCCACGCGGCCGGCACACTTATATCAGACTCAGTTAATTGCGGAGAAGATCGAGTACGTTTTTGGCGATGTTATACTTATATCCGATCATTGACTAGTTGTTATCAAACTCGCTGATTTGTATATTCGCATTGAGCGCGCAGTGCAGTGCCGTCATCGGTCGGGTCGCGGCAGGATGTTGTCGTTGGAGCAATTGTCACAAATGGTGAAGGAACACCTCGGACTGTGCGACTACATCGACGGCACACAATATACATGTAAATGGGCCATCAACGAATCGCCCTTAAGTGGCCGTGGCCTTATCGCCACCGAAGATATAATGCCTGGAGAAGTGTTGTTCGTGGACCGGCCTCTCATCTATGGACCGCGAGCTAGTTCCACCGTGGAGCAAGGATGTACGGTGTGCGCTAAGTTAAACAGTGATACATTTTACCAGTGTTCAAAGTGCTCATTGTTATTGTGCTCAGAACAGTGTCAGAATAATGACGTTCATGTTAAGGACTGTACGATCATTTCTCGTTGGAACCTCAAGAAACCAATCGAGGATGCCGATGGCAGCATACTATCTCGTGCATTAACTCCAATAAGGGCTCTTATGTTAAACAATGATCAAAAATTATTCATGAGTTGCATGCAAGCTCACAGTTTACCACAACACGGACAAGAAGTTCGTAATTTAAAACAATACTATGAGATTCCCGAAGAGGAAGAACAGCTTATGATAGCAGCGTGTTGTGCTCTAGACACTAATGCGTTCCAAATAGCCACTCCGTACGGTAAAAAGGAAATGAGCATGCGCGGATTGTATCCTGTGTCAGGATTGATGAATCACAATTGCGTACCAAACACGAGATACTACTTCAACAGTGACCTACAAATGACGGTTAAAGCTGTGAAGCCTATACAAGCGGGAGCTGAGATATTTTCATGTTACACTGGCATTTTGTGGGGGACGCCGGCTCGCCGAGTATACCTGTATAAAACAAAACACTTTCTGTGTAAATGTGATCGCTGTTCTGATCCTACCGAACGAGGTACTCTCCTCGGTGCTCTGAAATGTTTCTCAAGTGAGTGTCATGGATACTTACTACCGATAGACCCTCTTAGAACATCAAGCGCTTGGCGTTGCTTGCAGTGTGAAATGCGAGTACCCAATGAAAATATTTGTGCTATACAGGGGGCTCTCGGGAGTCTCATGGGGACTTTGAACTTTGAGAAAGTGGAAGATTTGGAAAGCTTTTTGGTTGATAGAATAATAAAATATATCCCGAAAACAAATCAAATCGTGATCGATCTACAGTGTCGTCTGATAACGGCGTTTGGGGAAGTCGAGGGCTATCGCTGGCACGGTGAGTAGAGTTTCAAATCTAGACCACAATTTAATTCCTTAACGAGCAGATGATTTATCACAAATATTTTGATTTATAAAAAACCAAAGATCATTCATTTTATGGCTAAGATCAATCCAAATAATCAGATAGATACGGAGATATAGTTTATCGCTATCTCGTGTGTTTTGAAACATCGTGGTTGGCATTGAAATATTTACCTCCTAAAACGCATGGAATAGAAAAATGCTAGCATTATTTGTAATAGTTGTGTTATGACGTATGAGCACTCGATTGTTCTTTCATCCGTTTCGATAAAGGCTGGGAGCTCACTGGTACTTAGTTCTGCAGTAATTATATTCTAGTCAGGTACAGGCAACATTGCTCTCGCGACCATGCGTCATTTCCTATTGCACGTCAAACATTGTTCTATAAATGGAATTAGTTCGCGTTCGCGCCTACCTCTCGTACCTGTAAGGCGAGCGGCAGAAATACCTATTACCTAATACTTTACGTCACTGTAGTGTGGTGCATCTTTATTGGCACACATAATATATTGTTTTTTATGTTAGTGACAATAGTTGCTAAGTTCAGAATTCGAGAAAAGAAAGAAACCTAAATATTAATTTTATAGTTTGTCAGGCTTACTGATGTAGCCTGATGTAAGAAAATAAACCACAAACTACGTTCCTTACTGTTTTTTTTTTGCCCAGGGTGAAGCGAGAGGAAGTGAACTCTTACTGACTAAAATTGCCCCGTTTCTTCTGCTCTAGGCCGAAGCCGCGGAGCTTTATTGCACTTGCCCTGCAACCCCACAAACGTTCCTAAGTGATAAAGTGTATTTTTCATAAGAAGCAGACCGAGTTGCAAGAGTTGCAAGTACGTTGCCAGCCTTTTGGGGATTCGTTCTTTGAAGCCGTGGTATCACTCCAGTTTACCATACATGCAGAAGCATGACTCTCGCGCACTCAATCGAATTTTCACTAGTTTTTATAATATTTGTTATGTTTACTGCCAATCATGGGAACAACGGATCCAGTATTTGGAAGGCGTAAGAGGAGCCGAAACCAACTCACAAAGGCTCGTTAAACAACATTAATATTTGTGATAGATATATGACTTCAGGTCAGGATCCATGCACTATAATAGTGAACCCAAGAATAATCCCTGGTTGATGCAGGATTACTGTGCAATATCGTAGAAAATTATTTGGTTATGATAGTGGGTGGCCTTATACTGACTATATATAGAGGTTATAACTATTGATATATTATGGCCTCTGGTCATTACTCATTAACATCATGACTTTCTTCAGAAAAAAAATATAAGTATCGAAATTGTAATCATTGTTCTTTGTACGTACACGAGAACCGAACTCGTGCAGTCATGGCCCACGTTTCGTAGTCTACATCCGCGCTGATCAAATACTGCGACGCCATGCTGACTGTCTGCTGTCTAAAAATAAGTAGCCCTAAGCTTAATAGATAGGTACAAATAATAATTTATTATAACTAATAACAAATGAACAGCTTTATTTATGTGTATAGCGTATACACTTCCAATAACAACAAGAACCCTCTAATGAATAAATCCTCTTTCGTACCAGAACTAAATCCGGAACAGAAATCTTCTCAATATATTTTTAAAACAAATTGCTTACTAGAGTTAAGTACTTATATTACACGCATTGTTTTACCACTTTTAAATTTCACATTCAATATAATTAATCTATATTAATATTATGAAGCTAAACGGTTCGATTGTTTTTTTTGTGTTGAACGCGTTAATATAAGGAACGGCTGGATTGAATTGAACAATATTTTTTGTCTTAGATAATTTATTGAGGAAGACATTAGACTATAAAATGAATGCTTCAACTAATAGAGGCCAAGCTCAAGAATAGCTATTACTAAATAACCCAAACAAATATCCTTGAACCTTTATATTCAATACTAGCTACTTTCACGTGGTTTCACCCTCTGCTCGGTTCCATTTGATCGTAGCGTGATGTTTTATAGCCCATACCACTCAAAAACATTGTAGCTATCTATCAGTGAAAAAACTTTGGCAATCCGACCAGCAGTTATAAAGATTACCCCTACATACAAACTTACAAACTTACAAATTTTACCTCTTTATATTCACAATCTTAAAGGTTAGGTAGATCGTAGGTACTCACATTAAGCACCTACCAACTAGCAACCTTCAATAAGGAAGCCAGTTTAACTGGACAATTCTCCTTACTATTTGCATAACAATAGAACAGAAGGATAACAAGGATCTAAGCAATTACGTGATAACAGCGAAACGTCTTAATAAACTGTTAGACTAGACATAGCTCTTTTTCCCAAGTACAGTTGCACTAACACCTCTTCAAATATTTACGGTTTATCTTCATTTATTTAAGACCAGGTGCATTGAGTAAACAGCATGTAGATTCTATTTTCAAAGGTTTGTAATACCACGCTTAAAAAAAAGAATTGCTAAAATCGAACGCTCAGACAGATCACCTGATAGTAGGTAAGTGATCAGCGTTGCCCAAGGACAGTACCAGAAGAATCACAAGCACATTCCTGGCCTTTTAAGAAACATTTAAGATAAGAGTGTAGGTACTCCACATGCGTTTCTTGGACGTTTGAAGGTCGTATCGGTTTGGAAATTTTATTCGAACAGGGTCTGCCGATGGCGAAAAGAAAAGCTATTTTTTATCTTTTATGCTATCCTCGGTCTGTGGACTAAGTCGCTGACAGAAGCTGTAGAGTATAAATAAAAACACATTATTTTCATTTAAGACTTGATCTAACGTATGTCAGTCTGAGTTACAAAGCGGCTAATCGGCTACTACTGGTTAGGTAATATAAACATCCTGGTGAATGTGTTAGTATTAACGAAGAACATTGTGCAGTTCATTGATATACATAGATAATAAATAGGTCTTTACCTATGAAATTGCCGTTCTGCAGTCCGTTTTTGTTAGGCTAAGGCTAATTAATTTTGTTTTAAAAACTTGGGATTCTTTTTCCAAAAGTAGTCATTTGTTTATTGATTAGTGTTACATTTTCATCGCATTTCAAATCAAAAAATTCGTTTAAATGTTTGCATACAAAACGGCAATTGTGGGGTAAAGACCTATTATATAACAACTTCGTTTAAACATAGGTCAACTGAAAAAGTTGTGGGTAATATAACTAGCGGAAAATTAAACGTCTTTATTAGTATCAAGTGAAAAAAAAATGAAAAACAAATAAATGTATGAATTTTATTACTAGTGTACTAAGGTAGGTAGCGTACCATACTGCCCATCAAAGTCTCGGGCTTGATCCTAGTCCAGACGACCTACCATGACGTGTTGAAGCGTGAATCTTCCGGACGAGAAAGAGGGATGGAGCTATACATCATTTATTCCAACTAAACCATAAATATAGGTACTTTTGAAACTTCAAAAAAGAATAGTAGTCTGTCAGTCTGTTCGTCAGTGAAGCTAGGTGCTCGTTCCAAATTGTAGTTTCGAATGGAGAAGAACGAGCAAGAAACTCTTTTTAAAAAGATATTATTTGTTTTTCATCCCTCTTTCTCGTCCTAAGCCTACTGATACGGTATTTTAACGTCTATTTTAGTTTTCCAAAATTTTCTTAACAATCATATCTTGGAATGGTTTCCTGTAAACTGTAAATTTTTCTTTGTAAAAGTCCCGTTATGGCTTGAAACTGGGAGAACTTTTCTCACTTAATTCACTTAAGAATAAGTCCGACGGCACGGTTGACACGGTTTGACTGCACGAGTGGTATAATGGGTGGGCAATTAGTTGTTGTGCAACGTGTTCCGGGTTAGATTCTCGCACGGATTAACACTTTGTAATCTACAAATTGTTGTTTGGAGTCTGGGTAACTTTTGTATGTGAATTTGTATGTTTGTAAATGACAACGGAGTAAATTCTAGCGAGGGACAACGTTAATATTAAAAAAGATATCTTTATTTTTCAAAACGCGTGTGACATTAAACTATGTTATCAACTCAAGGTTTTTTTTTCCTTATACCGCTTCTCCAAACGAGTGCCCACTCGTTTAAGATATCCAAGATACTCTTAAAACCGCCCGGTTTTAAGAGTATCTTGGATATCTAGGTATTTAGAGGTAGTATTTAAGCATTTATCTTGAAATTAACTGTGGGCGAGACATAACAAATACATTATAGAAATGTTATGCCGTTTACGAAAATACGCTATCAATAATAGTGGCATCATCATCACCGTTAAAAATAGTATGGTAAAATTTATTATTTTCCGCTGACGGTAAATGAAACGAACAAAATTGATGACAGCTTGTCATAACAACAATAATCAGCACTCTCACGCAACCACGCAATCTGTTAACTAAGGAAAACAGAGTTGGTAGGTACTTAACTGGCTACTACTGAAAGGTATTAGAATGACAAAAAAAAATATACGCTTATTTGAATTGTGTTAAAATAACATAACACAATACCAGATCGAATGATTTGCATGCCAGCAAATGATGGACTCATTGAAGGAATTTAGTATATCTATCACTGAAATGATTACCATTCCAGATCTGGTCATACCTACAGCTATGTAAAGAAATAGTCGGACTACAAAATTTAAAAAAATCAACCCTACCTTATACTTGAAGATTCATCATCATCATCATCATCAGCCTATAAATGCCCACTGCTAAGCAAAGGCATCTTCTCATACGGAGAAGGTTAGAGCATTAATAACCACGCATGCTCAATGCGGGATGGCGATGTCAAACTTATAATTAGAAATTATAAGTCCAGGTTTCCTCACAATGTTTACCTTCACCGTATGTCAGTGGTGTCTAAATAATCATAGAAAGTACATATAACTCGGAAAAAGGTTAAAGTGGTACTTGCCAGGTTTCGAACCCGCACCCTCATGCATGAGAAGCGGGCGCCTTAACCTCCGGGCCATCACGACACCTACTTGAAGATTGAACAGCTGCATTTAAAACTTCTAAAAATATCCACATCCATTATTATTTTCTAAAAATATAAGAGAACCCAAACATCTTTACCAAAAGAACAAACCTAAACTTGAATGTGTGTGTCCATTAATCACACTCAATCCACACTTTATTTGTAAAGCTGTTAATTTCCAAAAACTACTATTATTTTCTTTCGCACAGTGGAAACACATAACAACGTTAATCAAAGTTTCGCAACAAAATAGTAAGAAATAAATAAAATAGATTTCACTGTTGTAAAAATGAAACTATGACAGTAACATATACTTCCAGCCCTGCCAGCCCTATGACAGACAGATAGTGTTGATTCCAAAGGGAATCAGGCTATAAAAAATAACATCTCATTTATTTAGACAACCGTTATAAATTGTGTTGTCAGTTTCAAAATTCTAAGAATATCTTAAATACTTAGAAGTTGCACAACACAATGCGTCGAACCACGGACCAAATCCTTTCGCGCTCACGAAAAGCTTTTAACAGCGCAATCCAACATTTTGCTGACAATATGGACGCTTTTATTGATAGTTCAACATTCTGAATCGGATTTTAGGTCGCAACGTGAACTAGTGAACTAAACATAAATCGTTTAACCGACGTATATTACGTCAGATTCGACACGTGACCTGGCTCCATGGAACAGATGAGATTTATTATTTCCAGTGGCTATTTTCATAGCGGGTCATGTACATCGTAGTCGGTGGATTGGCCGCGTCAGTCAGCCGCGGCGCGCTACACCCACCATGGCTTCCAGCGCACAAGAGCTCCAGCGGCAGCCCAGTCATGGCGCATCCTGCTGCGAACGAAACATTACTGCTGACAGCGTACCTTGAGGACCCTGCACAACCACTATGGATAATCAAACGATCTAATCTCGGCGGCAGAGGATTGTTCGCAACACGACCAATCAAGAAAGGAACCCAGATCTTCAAGAATAAACCCCTCGTGGTGGCTCCGCGAGCCGACCGTGCTGGAGACACTTACTGCTGCGTTTGTTACCAAGTAGTTGTTACTTATTCGGCATGTGAACGATGTTCCCAAATAACTTGTTCCGAAGAATGCAACACATCTCTAGAACATAAAACAGAATGTGAATTTATAATAAACAATTGGAAGCCGAAACCAGATTGTGATAACTTTAGAAAAGTTCTGGCGCAAATGCAGATTTATTTACGCTTCCTACTCTTGTCTGAAGAACAAAAGTTAATGTTATCTCTCTTACAAAATAGCGACATCGATGCAAAATTTGAAGAACTTGAGGAGTTGTGTGCTAAATATGTGATACCAGATGAGCAGATTTCTTTCATGCATTTTATTCACTCGATAATTAAGATAAATTCCTTCAGGATTGCTAATAATCCTCAAGAGAGAAAAATTGCTTTACGCGGGTTGTATCCTTTATCGGCGTTCTTAAACCACAGTTGTGTGCCAAACACAAGGAATGTTTTCCACAGTGACTACACAATGGCTGTATATGCTACAAAAGATATTGAGGCTGGTGAAGAGATCCTGACGTGCTACACAGGACTTTTACTTTGTACTCCAGCGAGACGATGTCAATTGTATAAAACAAAACATTTCTGGTGCAAATGTAAGAGGTGTAAGGACAATACAGAGATGGGCACAAAGCTGTCAGCATTGAAATGTTTTAACAAAGAATGTGTGGGTATCCTACTTCCGACGTCGCCTTTAGACCCAAGAGCAGAGTGGTGTTGTGATAATTGTGCGAACAAAGTTCCGTGTGATAAAATAAGTATGATACAAGGTATTCTTGGAAGCTTGGTTGGGTCTCTGGATCTTGATGATCAGTTCCGCCTAGAGGCGGCTATCCTAGCAAGACTGGCTAATTTCATTCCCTACTCCAATCATATTTTCATTGATTTACGGCTGAGATTAGCACTGAAAATCGGATTCACTGAAGGACTGAAGCTTAACGGTATTTCTCAATAAACTTACTCAGTATTGGATGTCTCACATTATTAAAAATGCTTATTGTAAACAATAGGATAATACTAATAATTTTTGAATATTCACTAACAAATTTGCTCCTAATAGAAGTAGAAAATTGGTTAAATTGTCTTCATGTGGGTACAGGATGTAATACGCAGCTAGATGTAAGTAGATGTACTAACGCAACAATTAAAATCTGTAGAACAAAATCTCGTTGCTTTTAGACTGACATATAGACTTCACTCAGATAATTCTATAGCTTCATATAAACGTTTAAAATATTAAACCAACTAATTTTAGATGGTGCATCTTTGAAAGTCATCTACAAAATTATCAGATAACTCCGAAACTAATTATTCAACGCACAAAATGTGTCATTTTGCTAAATCGCTGCTATTAACTAACTCCGAGCTTGAAATAAACCTAGTCATATTTAAATATTTGACATAATTTATTGTATATGTATATTTATGTCATATCTCGTCATATTCTTTGTGCAGCGAGACCTTAAATAGTTGTACTTAGTAGAAAAATCTGTTAGAAAAATTGCCGTGACATAATCTCAAATATGTGTATTGATTCCAAAAACATGTCTACTCTTATTTTAGTATGATAATATCTCAAATTCGATCTATACTAGACGGAACCTTGGAATACAGTACACGGAACTGCCCTATTCAATTTTCAATTTCAGTAGGTATCTATTGCGTAGAAATATTAAGCTCGATATAAAATATGTCTATCGATTCTAAAAAGGTACTTTCACTACGATAATGTCCCATGGATTGGATCTGGTCTAGGCGGATACATGAAATTGTTATCATTTGTCTTAGCAGAACCTAACTGCAAAATGTTTTGCACTCCAATTACTAAAGGCCTTTGTAATTCAACCACTAAAAAAAGCAATGAAACATTATTTTATTTGTTCAGCCGCCAGTATAAAACCTATTTATAGCACAACACGAATCAACAGAGTATCATTTGTTTTCATCAAACGTCAGAATCGTTTTAACGCAATAGCTTTTAACGGTTTTGTATAAATTTATTTAGTTTTGAAGGTGAAATGGAAAAGCTAAATGTTGCAACTGACTTTTCGTGTAGATAATTTAACCCCAGATAGAAAATTATGGGAGTTTACCTTTTGATGGAGGAAATTCATCCAATGTCTTTTCCAACATTAGTAGGGCGAAACGGCGAAAGGGAGTGTCTATTTCTTACTGACTAAAAACCACTCGTAAGTGCGTTCTCCTGCTCCGATCTGGATTGCGGTATATCAGTGCCCTTAAATCCAGTCATTAACCTAGTTACCTACTATTTTTCAGAAAAAAGTTTTTCGTTACATTTTTAGGTTTTGCTAATATTTTATTACCAGCTTTTTTACCTGCGACATTGTTCGCGTGGAATAGTGACTTCCTGCAGATTTTTGGTTTAAAAACTATCCTATGTCCTTTCTCGAGTTCCAAACTATGTCTGTACCAAATTTCACACAAATAGGTTCAGTAGTTTAAGCGTGAGGAAAAGACAGACAGACAGACAGAGTTACTTTCGCATTTATAATTTAGTTTGGTTGGGTATTTCAACAAGTTTCATTTCAAGTGTGCGAGAGCCATGCTTCGGCACGAATGGGTCGACTCAACCGGAGTGATACCGTAACCTCACAGAATTACGGCGTGAAACAACCACAGCGTTGTGTGAGTGAGGTTACCAGAGGCCCAATTGTTCCTCTCCCTTTCCGTCCCCAATTCCTAAATTTCCGAAACCTTAATCCCCAAAAGACCGGCCACGCACTCGTAACTCCTCTGGCGTAGCTAGCGGCGCCCACTGGTTGCTTACCATAAGAAGAATAATTAATACACTATATCCTCTAAAAAAGCGACAAAAACCAATGAGAAGGAGTGGATATCTGTAACGAATGTTTTGTAAACGTCTAACCGCACAATAAACTGACTCGTGTATAAATATTATGAGTGAAACCAACTGCACTGTATAATGTTTCTAGGACAAGCTGCGGTATCCACTATGTCAAGGTTCCTTCTAACAATTAGGTACATCTAGTATTAAATATTTACAACACATCAAATTGACAGCTACGTAACTGTGTTAATTTAATAATTCTGTAATAGTAACTTATACCAAGTTACTATAAACTGCATTACCTTCTATTCACCCTCAAACATAAAAATCAAGAAAGTAACCAAATAAAAATAATATATTTTTCAACATTTGTCTTAGCCAGGCAACACTACCAACATTTTAAATCGATTGATGTCATAAACTGTATGATATTAACAAATGAACTCAAATGTAACTAAAAATAGAGATTACCTAAATTTATCGAAACTACCTTACACGAGTAAGGCAGTTAGGTAATGTAAGTTAGGCCACCTCCAGAGAAGGTTTGCTGTAGTCTCCACAAAAAACAGGCAAATTAGAGATCACAGTTCCAATGGTTAAGATTTATCAGTGCGCATTTGAACGGGTTACGCAGCAGTCTGCGTTATAATTCAAATAAGAAGTAACCATATAAATTCGTGGCGAAAATGATGTTAACTCAAACTACATGACTCATGTCGGAAACCAACTAACCACGTAATTAATGAACATTAATTGAAATAATTTTATACCACAATTACGAGTACTTAGAACACAAAATGGCGCATTAGCAGAGACAAAAATGTATGACGGTAATTAAAATCCATGAATGTTACTTTATTAACATTCTTTTTGTAATTTTTGAGATGAAAATTAATAAAGAAAAGCACTAATTAATATGTTGATAAAATTAAAAAGGCGTTTGAAATAATATTTACGTCATTTCTACTTTTGTTACATTTATACGTAGGTACTGTTTCCATTATCTTACGAGAACTTTGCTAATGCTTACTTCGTATAAGTAATGCAAGTCTTTTGTTTCACAGAACAATCAGAATAGGTATGCTACTTGAATTCGACTGCCTGATATTAAATATGTGAGTAGTGACTTTAAAATAACAATTAAGATAATGTCTCTAAGTCTAATGGTACGAAAATGTCTAACATTTTAGTTCGGGTTTACTTTTTGTCGTTGAACTTTTATTTCACTTGTTCGAACAGCATATTGCAATGAAAACCAATATGTGACGCAGGTACTCGTAACATCGCGTTCGAATTAATACGTCACGGCCGTTGCACATTCGGGGCAGATAGCACTGTTGGTACTCATGCCAGTTATGTATACTTTGCCAAATACATATGATTAGCAACTGTTTAACAGGAACCAACACAGAAAATTATACCTATGGGGTATCTTTGACCAAAGCAACAGATACATTATAACATTTAGGTAATTACATTCCAGTATAGGTACCACAGAAATAATACTAATATAAGGTATATTTTTTTAACATTATGTTTTTAGAATTTATTGTTTGTGCCTAACTTGTCCTTTAAAGGGAGTAAAATACTGCAGTACTTCTGAATCTGCAAACACAACTCCGCGTTTTAGCAAACATGTTTCAGAAACTAATATTTTAGGTATGTCATCTATTTCTGGAGTAATATGTAAAGTTATACGTACTAAGGGTGACAAAAATGCATGGAGAGCTTAAGGTCGACTATTGACTGACAGGTTTTGCATAACGCTACCATTGATAACTAGATGGCGCTGCTTTTAAATGAAAATAACCCTGCAAAGCTTGAATACTTTACACTGCAGAGGCACACAATAAGGTTTTTAATGGTTAAAATAATAATTAAGAAACAATAATATATTTATATTCAAATACACATAAATTATGTTAATTTTCACATTTCCGAGGACTTAATATAGCGCCATCTAAGCCAAGTCAAGCAAACCAATTAAAAGATGGCGTCAATAATTAATAATAGACAATAATAAAAGTTATAAACTAACCCGCATTTTCGATATCATTAAAAATGTGATCGGTAGCTCGGATAAATAAGAATGATAGTATAATGAAGTCGAAGGGAACCGGTTCAATTCCGGGTTATCATTTTTAAATTCAGGTTTTTTAACAATGGTTTTTTTATATTTTTTATATAAAATCAATAATAATAATATATAAATAAAATATTTGACGTTTAATATTTATAAAAGATAACAAAAATAAATAAATATATTATGTTAGAATAAAATTATATTAATAAATATATATAAATAACTTTTATAATATGTGCTAACTATTAATGTAAAAGTAACATATTTTTCTTACAGATTAAGACTAATACTTAGTTTAATTCTCATAAAGGATAACAAATAAAACTATTTTAGTGACATTATAATTTCAGACATTTATTTCTTAAAACATAATATTTATTTCTTTCTTATATAGTGTATACCCTGACCTAATAACTTTTCAGCTAACTGACACATTATTTATTACACTTTTTATAAGATTAATAAGTATTTTAAATCAAAATTGTGTTGTGCTAGTCATTTATTAGTTAGTTTTAAACACAATGTTATAATACGATTCTATATAATATGCAACCTTACTTCTGCAACTATTTTACCTCCACATAAAAGTTAATTAAAGTATTGACTAAAGTGATTCATTTTGTGCATCATGTTATGACAAAGGCTCATAGCTTAAGTATTCGTTCCAGAACAAGGAAGAAATTGAAGCTAGACCTTAAATCAATAACATTTCTAAGACCGGGATATAGCATTCACTAGATATGTTCATAGTAATTAATAAATAAATAATTTATTATTTTGCAATCAATAGCATCTGTAAATATTAATATTGCTTTTATTTTTATATCTCATATTCAGTAAAACATTAAAATCATTACTGTATAACAGTCGCTGGTTATGAAGTAGTCAATAAATTTATCCTACTAACACTAAGTTTGAACATTTATCCATTAAATAAATTATAGCTACCCCGGTCTTGTAATTGCTTAATCCTATAGTCAACAATATCTTTTCTTTAAAGAACTAGTGTAGCCGCCATTTTTATCGATCCTATTTCTCCTATCTCGCTGGCCAAGGAATAATCCGTATGTCTGATTGCTGACTAAACACTTGCATAATTATGGAACATTACACATAGGACAATTGTCGTTGTCTGCACGAACGTTATCACTAGCACATCTTCATGACGTCTTTCAGCACATCTATGTAGTTTTCACTGTTTGCATCACTTAAGATGACAATTCTCCAGTAATTTTCCTCATAACCTTGCCCCATAAGTTGAAGCTGGTCTGAGTCAATATCACGTCTTCTGCCAGATCCACTACGGTGCTCCAATGAACCCTCTTCTTGAAACAGCTTTAGATATCCATAAAGTGGCAGTCTTTACCTGTAAGGGACGTGTATTATTTATTATTTTCATGTATCGATAACCATGGATAATAAAATAAATAACAAACGGTCATTTATAAGAATACTTACGTTTAAGCCAGTTTCTCTAGAAATTCCAGTATAATTTAAGCTTTGATTATGCAATGCTATTATTCGGGCCCTCGTAGCCATATTAACATTTGAACGCAAATTCATAATAAAAATAAATATTAAAAACTTGTTAAACAAATCGTGACTGAACTCACTCAAAGATAGTAAAGAATGTTATGATTGAACAAAAAGGTTTAATTTTTATACAGTTAATTTTAAATTACCCTCAACTGTTTTGAGATTTATTATCGGGTTATAGTTGCTAAACAACTTCAATATAATAAAGAGTAGGATAATTTCAATACATTTCAAGGTTACGTAATGGCCTAATGGCTAGTGGCATCGGTAAATTTTATGCTACCGAGTTCGAATCCTGGTTATTGCGTGCTTTGCTTTAAAAAGGTTTGGAATATCGTAGCATTAATTTGTATAAAAATTTGTTAAGTTAATAACTTTGTATCTGATAAAAACTATAAATGTATATTTTTCAATACCACTAGTATACTAGCGCCATCTATGTCGTCCATGGTATATAATTAAGGCGATGAAACGCCGTACAAACGATTTTGATTTAGAATCATCCATGCACTTATGACACTGATAGTACATACCTACATAGTTATGTTCATTATATATTATTCGTGCATTTCAAACTGCGTCATTCCGTAAAAGCAAATACGTAGAAGTTTAAAGGCTGGTGTCGAATGTACCTATACCTAGTTAGCATTTCATTGTGAGTTCAGAATAACGTGTGGTGTGCGGCATGCGACTACTACGCAACAAGTGAATAAAATCGGGGACGATATTATCGTGAGGGGCAGTAGTACGATTGCTCGCCGATTGACATGGGCGCCGCGGCTAGGAACGCTCGTCCTCACGTCGTCACCAGGTGGATCTGTCTACCTGTACCGTTAGTACCTCTAATTATTCAATATAACGCCCAAATTATTTTATCCGCTCGCCGCTGCCAAACACGTGGGTAATGTTATTAAATATTTTGGCGGTGATAACGAACTGCATTGCCTATGCCTTAGCGCTGTCTGTGATTGTGGAGACTATTGTGCCTTGTATATGAACCTAATATTTCATGTACGTGGAGTTAAATAGGACACGCCAGATATGAGTGCCCTTAAAACTGCTACTCAGCATTCACGTCGAGCGTCGGACTTGGCGTTGTGCCGTTACACCTATCGATGAAGGTCTGCAATTTCTATTCTGCCAACTATTTCTATTTCTTCGCCAAGATTGAAGTATCGAGAATCAATTAGTTAGTCAGTTACATCCATTGTTAGACTAACTGTAAAATACTTAGGGATGCATCTGATTGTTTCGTGGGTATCTACATTATAAATACGGCAGTAGATAAGCACATTTAAGTATTTATTTATTTAGATTGTTAGAGAGGTTTTGAAATACCTACCTAATATAAATCTATTGAGCATTATGACATCCACTTCCCTCGACATAATTATTAAGTATTTGTATATGACTCTTGCAGTTTCCTTTCTGTTTACATCAGCAACATGTACTCCTTTATGAGCCCACTGCTGAACAAAGGCCTCTTCTCACACTTAGATCATTAATCACCACGCTTGCATAACCGCGCACATCACCACGCTGTTTGGCGATTACAAACTTATTATTAGAAATTAAACGCACAAATTCCGTTACTTTGATTTCCTTCCCCATAAGCCAGTGGCGTCTAAGCATACCTATACCTTAAAAACACATTGATAAATCACCATTGTATTTTTTTGCTGGTTTCGAATCCGCATTCTCGATGCAGGAGAAGCGGGCTAAAAAACGATCGTTGTTTAACGACCTGGCCACCACGAACTTGTGTGTTCATCTCGGAGCCAGCACCAACCATTTGTGGATCCCAAACCCGCGACACGCGCAGCAGCTATGCTGCAACTGAAAAAGCCAAATTTGGGGACGAAATGGTCGGCTCGACTGGAGTGATACCACGGCCTCAGCAACAAACACAGCGTTGTGTTTCACTGTAACATTGAGATTACCGATCACCCAATTCTTTTTCCTCTGGTGTTCCGAGTATCCTTGGGCGCCGATTGCTTACCATCAAGTTATCTGTCTGCTCGTTTGTCGAACACATAAAAATGCCAGTTGCACAGCCACTAGTGCGCTTAACTATAATCCAGTAGGGATACAGTTTAAAAAATAAGCCCATCGTGACTTACAGTCGCTACCTTCCCTATTACTAAAATGAGGGTAAACATTTAATAATTTGTGCACCTCACAACATACACACACTTACCTCGTGAAAGAAATGTTATCTATAGGTACCCTATACTAACATTATAAAGAGGAAATATTTCATTATTTGTTGGCTCTAAAACTACTTATTGGGTACCCTTTATAAAGTAGTGCCCCTATCAACAACAACAGGCCCTTGTCATTTATTAACTTACCCACATTGAAGATTTTATAAAACTATCTGTTTTCATTGCAGCTCTCTTCAATACCTAATAATTTCCAGAATTCGTAACTTACATCCATGTAAATACCTACCTATTTCAGAGCTGTCGGAATCTCGCCTGGCGCTGAAAGAGAGCCTGTGCCGCGGCACGCTGCGCACGGTGGCGGCGCTGGGCGTGGGCGACGCGCACCTACGAGGCCTCCTGCTCTACCACCTGCACGCCGCGCTGGCAGAACGCGCCAGGCGCTCGCCAGACCTGTATGAGGTATGTGTACCATTTACATTTCTTACTAATATATCACCCCCTACTTGGAGCGAGTGCTCACGTTAATGAAAGCACCAATATAATTTGGTATATAGAAGACCGGTGTCATACCACCGCGTTTTGTTTCGCCGTGTGAGTTTACCAGATGTTCAACACTAACACACCATGCCCGACCGCTTAATCCTTACCCTGAAATCAGCCTGCCAGCCAGCAACGCACTAGTTATACCTCTTATATTGCGGGAGACCAGGCGCTGATTATTTTCCACCAGCTGATCCGTCTGCTTCCACGAAGAACAAAAAGTCGATCCAGCCGTCTCAGATCTTTAGCGAGACTAACGAACAGTCAATTCGTTTTTATAAATAAGATCTTAAACGACGTAGATAACAGCAAACCTAATCATATCTATACTGTAAATCAATTGCTATACACCTAATAAGATTTTATAAAAAACCAATAAATATTTTTGTTACAGGAAATCAAATCTGAAATTGAGAGCACCATAGAACAAGCCTACAACATTCTCCAAGGCGACATTTCCGCGCCACCAGACTTAGAATTGAGGCGCCGTTATCTTGGTCCAGGCTGTGATAAACCCCAAGAAGAACGATTCTTCATCCTCGACGCTTAAGTGCTGTACCTAAATGTGATAGACAAGTGTATATACCTAGTTACCTACACGTACGAACCTAACTTGTAAACTGAAGTGACCAGGCATGGAAAGATTTTGATATGATTTTATGCAATGTTACCTAATTAAAATATGATAAAACCCATTTCAGATTTAATTGAATCGGTGAAAAAAGTCTTACACAGTTGGTACCTACACAGTGACTTTACAAAGAACAAGCTTGGTGATACCTACTTTGGAAATGATAACTGTCAGTACCATTTTTTACCAATTTTTTATAGTAAGTAGGTAGATCTTTTCCTTTGAACGCATCTCATACAAATTGTGTCAGAAAATTTGTTTCATTACAAAAACGCCAACGTACCTACCCCATTGCGTAATGCGTTTTTTATTGAATGCCTGATTTAGGTACCAATTATTTATTAGTGAACTAGACCTAAGACAATAATGTTTGTAAATATAGCGAAAAATTTTTAATTTTAGGGGAAAATCATATTTGAAAACTAACTTCCGCTAGCGGCTTCGCCCGCGTTCTGTGTTGATAAAAAGCAGCCTATAGCAATAGAACAAAATTGAAGTATACGTAAAATTTATTATTAATCGTCTCATTTTTACGGGTACATATCCAATGGCTAAATAACCTATTACCTACTTAGGCACTAATTGTCCGCTATCCGTCCGTCCATAGATAGAATGGTACTGTGGATGTAATGGATGATATGGTCGAATGGATCTAACTAATAGGTAATTATTACAAATATTTCATAAAACCTATTATATTATATTATATTTTCAACCGCGTTGCCTCGAGCGCGGCAACCGTTACACAAAAATAATCCATAACGCATGGTTCAGTGCTCAAATGCGAAGGCGCGATGGCTTATTATCCAAACTGCTGAGCTATCAGGAGTTATACGTGCTATTGTGAGTACAAATGCTGTAAAACATTTTTTTTTAGATAATTTTATGTAGCATATTTCCGTCATACATAATTTCTATGTAACTTAAACCACTAAGGCTACACACGCGACAGAAACTTAAAAAAGGGAGTAACTTTTCACGTTTTCCCAACATTTCCCTTCACTGCTCTGCTCCTATTATTTGTAGGGTGATGAAAAGTATCCTATAACCTGCCCAAGAGAATAAAGAATAAGTACCAAGTTTTGTTAAAATCCATCGATAGTTTTTGTTTCTATTAGGAACATACAGACAGAGAGACAGACATACAGAAAGACAGAAAGACAGAGAGACAAAAAATCACCCCTATAGATATTTTGAAAATAATAATATATTTCATGTACAGAATTGACCTCTCTACCGAATTATTATAAGTAAGTATATATGTAAGTGACCCGTTTTTGAAAATCATCCAATGAATTCTCTCGTCCATGGTGAGACGAGAGGGAGTGTCAGACTCTTACCTACTGCCTAAAATCCCCCCAGTTCTTGTTCCTGCTCCTGCTCCAGACCGACGCCGCGTTACCTTAATGCGGATGCCCTGCAACCCCAGCTAAACATCAGCCCTACTAGGCCACGTCTGCGGTGGTGAAGTGACTCTGTAACGCGCGGAACAGTTTCTGGTCGGGCGGCGAGCTCGCCGTCCCCTAAATCTCCAAATCCATAAAAGGTCGGCAACGCACTCGTAACTCCTCCGTTGCGAGTGTCAATGGGCGGCGCTGATTGCTTACCATCAGGTAATCCGTCTGCTCGTTTGCCGACCTACTAAAAAAAAAAAAAGGAACTTGGTAAATGACTAAGCCACAGGTTGTAGAGTAGACTGCGGGGTGCGCGTAACACTAGAGGGCGCGTGAGGCGCGCACTGTGGGTGCAAAAGAGGATCACAAAAAATATGTTAGGGCGCCTAGCTAACAAGGACTGTTACCAAGTTTAATCCGCCTCTGGTCTACTTATCTAAAAATAAGATGTAAACTAGGGAAGTATTGCACTGTGCATTTAACGACACGACACGCCACATTAATATATTCATTATCATCGTCATTGACAATGGACAGATTAGCACCAGAATCATCAGTCTATCTAATGTTATAGGTATTCATCAATATATGTTTCTTCGGAACACAGCATTTCAAAATCCGTGACTATACACTGTCAGCTGTCAGATAACAAATTGTCAGTGTCAAAGCAAGAAAATTACAAAATTATTAATATGTCATCCAAAGAGTAATAATTAAAGCAAAAAATTAGGAATATCAATCATCTGGGTACAAAAATAATACCTATACAAACAAATTGGTTAATAATTTTTGTTTACTATTTCTGTGAAAAGTAATAAAACAAGGGAACAAATAACTATTACTGTCTTGATAATTTCATAACTGATGTTTTAAACCACTATTAAATGATAAGAAAATAATAAACTGTTCACTCGATAACGTCAATTTTTCTCAAGATAATGACCTATTTCAGACCACTTTATCTACTTTCCTATCAGTGTTTGCCTGGAAGCAACAACCTTCGCACCCATTTGAGAACTAAAGGGCTGAGAACTTTATTTTCAACTTCGGTTCTGACAAACATGGCACCCCAGCGACAAGCTTTGTTACTCTCATCATCAAATTGTCACGGGTATTCGATGTTAGAATTCGCCAAACAAGAAATATGTAATATCCTCAAGAAGTAAGTGGTATCAAACATTGATATTTTTAATGCCAGTTATTTTTATTGTTTAAATTAATCATTATTACAGGAACAGTATCAACGAGTTAGTCTTCATTCCATATGCTCAGAAGGACTATGACAGTTACACCGCTAAAATAAAAGAAGTTATTGAACCATGGGGTTTTACTGTGACTGGATTACACAGCTACTCAAATTTAACTGAAAGAATTAATAATGCCAAGGCTATATTTGTAGGGGGAGGTAACACATTTCTACTTTTAAAAACACTGTATGAAAAAAACCTGGTTCAGATAATCAGAGATCGAGTTCATGAAGGCAGCCTTATCTATATTGGCAGTAGTGCTGGAACTAATGTTGCTACTAAAAGCATTCATACTACAAATGACATGCCCATAGTGTATCCTCCTACTTTTGAAGCTATTGGTATTGTGCCTTTCAATATCAATCCCCATTATATTGATTTAGTTAGTGAGACACACAAGGGTGAAACAAGAGACCAAAGAATTTATGAATATTTGGAGATGGCTGATTCTAATCCTGTGCTAGGGTTAAGAGAAGGGTCCATGTTGCATATTGATGGGTATAAATTAACTATAAAAGGAATTGCTGGTGGAGTTTTATTCCAGAAGTAAGTATTGATTTTAATATTCCAAAATAATAAGTCAGGAAACAACATTTTCCCAGACTGATCATGCTTACTATTGGCATTGCCATTTTGCTACCATTATTGGCATATGCTGTCAAATAAATTGCATATTTAGCATACTTGTTATAAAAACACTATTCTTAGGAGCAAACTACTTTCTTTGGATTTCTTTTAAATCTAACAAAAATAATAGTTTTGGCTTTAAGCAAATTCTAAGTGTTAACACCAATAAGCATCCTTTGTGTTAAAAATATGTTTAACACTTTGGTGGTTAAAAATATGTTTAACACTTTTAAGTATGTTTATATTGTATTAAATTTTAATATTTTGAAATTTTTGCAAAAAATATACCTAAATAAATACTTTATTTTTTAGGACAGACAAGAAACCTGTTGTTATTGCACCAGATTCCGATGTGTCATTTTTAATTGAACAAGATAAAGAACTTTAGATGCTACAGATCTAGTATATTATCTAGCAGGTGACCAATGATAAACTTTTTATTTTTGTATAGAGTATAATTTTTTTTTCTTATGCCAATTACACTGATCAATAAAGTATTTTAGTTAAAAGAAATATAATTATTGATGTGAATTTAGGAACAAAAATATATAAATGCCTTGAAAACACTATGCACTTATCCTATGTTAACCAGTCTGGGTTCTAATTGGAGTAGTTCACTTTTTCAATATGTGCCATGCGAGTACCTACACCACCAAACCACTTAAAATCCACAGTTTTCACTACCAGCTGCTATGAAGAGCTGTATGTATATTGTATTTCAATCCACCAGTTTTTACTAAAGATTTAATAACCACTTTTTATAAACAATATTGTATTTGAATATTGCACTGTAAGTTCATTTCTTGTCTATGCTAAACACTGGATATCCAAATTCAAAAGTTAATGTCAGCCTGTGACAGGAGCATGCAGCAGCAAAGATCTAGCAGCATGGAACAATGAGGGTTGTGGAGTCACACGGGATTGCCCTGTTCGTTCAGCTGTGGGTAAATGACATAGGTATCGCCTTAGCGCTAGATCTCGTCGTGCACTTAACCCACGAGTTATTTCACAACCAGATCCAAATAAAACAGCACGCTGGCGCTTTCTCTTTTCCACAGCCACCTAAAATAATAAAAATAAAATTAACTCTTAACAAAAATTTCATTTTTAAAATAAAATGACGAGTGTTCGCTTTTTTAAATATTATGGGCAATAAGACAAGATTAGGAAGGTGTACACACCTGAATGGCAGCAACAGGGTGTAATGTGGAAACATCAGGCACAGGTTCTGTTTTATCTTCATTTTCATGGATACCATTCTGTTCAACTGTGTCTTTCTGATCATTTTCTAATGATTGGATTTGTTTTTTCTTTTCTGACTCGAGACTTTCAGCATTTTTGTGTAATACATCTTGGACAACATCTTTTCCAGCCATATTTAAGGAAAGCCCAAGACGAGCGAGAACACGCTCCGGCCTCCAACGATCGCGAGCGCCGCCAGATGAAACCCCGGTCTGCTCTCTTCGGCGAACATCCGCTACTAAGCTAGCCCAATCAACTCCCAGTGCATCACCTAAGCCAGCTGAAAAATACACTTATCATTATATTTACGCGTTTGAGTTTGAATATTAATATAATCAACTTGTGTTAAATTACCCCTTGTACGTTCTTCTTCTAACTCTCCATCAGAGATTTCTTCAAAGTCTAAATTGGCAACATCTTCATCATCTTTAGCATCTTGAGACTCTTTTTCTTCAGCAGCGCCACTTGTATCCTAGTACAAAAAATCTTTTTTTAATATTCCATTATTTATAGAACACTTATATTAGCCAGTACCATTTACTGTTATAGAAATCAAGATAGATTGTTTAATCCCTATCCACTCTGCACTTCTTTACACCTAGTTAGCACAATTTACCTTCCCCTTCAAACAAATACACATAAACAAACGAATATCCAGATAACAGTCATTATGTTGAAGTTTTTTAATATTATATTTATTTATGGCGTGACAATCTACAGTAATCTAAACGCCTATCATCGAGACTAGTGGACACGGTCAAAAAATCGGGAGCTGCGAAAACGAGATGGGGAGGTCTTTGCCCAGCAATGGGAGATTATAGGCTAGTTACATATATTTATTTAAGTTGCATTGCATACCTGAGTAGACTCTTTTTCAGAAACTTCTGGCTTAGACATAATTTCATCATTGGGTAAAGCAGTTTGGCTGTCTTCATCTATTATTTGATCTGCCATCTGAATTAAAACATTAATATCCAACATTAGCATAAAGCAAGTTTTACAATGCACAGAATTATTAGATATAAATAAATAAATTTGCTTACATCTTCTCTATTAAGTATGTCGTCAGGGTCATCACTGATCTCACTGAGATCATCAGGGATGGGCTTATCATCAACTTCAGCTTCAGGACGTGGTGGAGCCGTAGGTGGAGCTTGTGTAGCAGGTGGAGTCTCTTTAGCTGTTGGTTCAGGTTCATTTCTGGGAGCACGTCTTTTATTACCATCGCCTCGAGCAAGATCCATTCGCATTCCACGACCATAATCATCTGTAAATCCGAATTTATAGCTGAATAATTGTTGAAAGCAAAATTTACATTAAGATTTTTTTAGCAAGAATGCATTATACACACCATGCATTCGTCCACGATGAGGACCAGGAGGATGGCCTCTATGGTGCCAAGCATCAACATCAGGTTCCTTATCACCCCACTCGTTCATCTAAAATTGTCTGGTTTGTTAGATATACAGATTTTTATAGTTATAAACATTATTTTTAATTAATATTATTAACATAAACATACCAAAGTGAGGATAAGGACAGCCAAGGAATATGTGGGACAGAATAGGACAAGGATTTTTATTGTCTTTACGATAATCAATTGGTTCATTCCGATACAAAGTTTGATAGTATAAACTCACCTATAGCAGAATTAGAAAGAATTCATCATTAATTTTTTATTTGAATGTATTAAATATGTAGAATAAAAAGCATGTAAGTAATGTAAGAAAGATATCCACATCCACACATCTAAAAAATTACCTGAGGATCATGCATTTGCCAGTGTCGTTCACGACCCCATTCTCCTGGGCGATAGTCATCATTATCCCATTCTTTGTGGGGATGCATATAACGCTCACGGTCCATGGATCCAGAGCGTCCTTCCCAAGAGCGATCGCGATGCGTTCGGCGGTCATCATAACCTTAAAAACACAGTGGTAATATTAAATAGGAGAACAAATAGTCTAGGCCCTTTTTTTATAATCGAAACACAAACACCATTCTTACCCATATCAACACCCCTTCTTTCACCCATATGTTCACCATATAACCTATCATCATCTTCAGGATACCCCCTCGAAGGCCCACCCATGTCATACCCAGAATCATAATGTCTATCCCGACCCTGCATATTATAACCTGGAGACCTGTCTTCTTCTCTAGCACCATCATCATAACGGTCATCTACTCTATCATAATGATCCAAGTTGCGATCATTATCATATTGACGTTCCATACCCATATCATAGTCTCCTTGATCTCTGTCCAAGCTATCCAACCTATCTCTTTTAGTAGAACGATCTCTTTCAAGCCTATCTTGTTTACGACCACCTCTTTCAGAATGTGAATCCTGGCGATCTTTAGATGTGGATGAATTTTTATCAATATCAAGTGCTCTATTAGAAATTGCTGCTAAAGCAGCCAAGCGTTCTTCTGGTCTCGGAAGAAGTCGTTCCATAGGTTTGTTAGGTTTCTCTAGTCCTTTATCAGCACCACCTCTACCACCTAAGCCCCTATCTCTGCCCCTCCTCTTACTATCATCTCTTTTATTATCTTTGTTCCTGTCACGACCTCTATCTTTTCTGTCATGTCTGTCCTTATCATCATGTTTATCTTTCCTTCTTTCTAATGATCTGTCTTTATGATCACGTCCTCTGTCCCTGTCTCTACTTGCAGATCGCTTTCTATGTCTTTCTACACTGCCATCTCGACGAGTTTGTTTCTTAGGAGAGACAGGTCTACTGCGCTCTGAACTTTCTTTTTTCCTTATATCTTTAGAATGAGAAGAATGCTGTCTTGGAGACCTTGATCTTGCTTTTCTTGGTGATCTACTACGAACTCTAGTACGGTCCTTTTCTTTGTCACGTTCCTTTTCCCTATCCTTCTCCCTTTCTTTTTCTTTAGTGCGATCTCTATCCTTATCTCTTTCTCTAACACTAGGAGAAACACTTCTGTTTCTCCTTGGTGGAGATTTCCCATGTTTTATTGTACTCTTTGCTAAGCTTTTTGTTGTAATAGGAGGTGTTCCACCAGATTTCTTACCTGGTGATAATGATTTCTTTCCAATACTTGATTTATTAACTGTTTTCTTCTTTGAAGTTTCTTGTTTTTTAAGGCTCCTTTCATCTTTTTTTGAAGCTGCTTTCTTAGGCTCACTTTTGTCTCTCTTTAATGAGTCATTTTTAATAAACTTCTTTTTAGATGGTGCATCACCATCTGATGATGAGCTGGAATTTCTCTTAAGCTTTCCTTTTTTTACCTTACGTCTCGCCTCTCTATAACAACAAAAATTAATAACATATAAAATTTAAATATATAGGTACCAATATCAAATCTTCAAACTATAAATTAAAAAGGAATTTTCGCATTACCTGCCTGAAGATGAAGATGAAGAGCTATTGTCTGAAGAGGAAGATGATACGCTCGAAGAACTAGAACTTCGTGACGAAGACGTGCTCGACATAGTTTTCTTTTTATCTTTGCGCATATCTTTATTAGAATCCATTTTCAATTGCAGCTCTAGCTCACGTTGCAGCTGCTGTCGTCTTTTTTCTAAGACGTCTGTGTCTGCGTATTCTAGGTCATTTTGATCCCAGTTGTCAATTTCACCATCTGGACTGCGCCCTGAACGCACAACGACGGTCGAATGGAGTCTACTCTTAGGATCATCTTTTAAAACACGCTTATGTTCGCTATCTTTGTTTGCAGCTCGTTGCTTCGATGGACTTATTAACGTATGAGTTGATGCAAATTTACAACTTTTACCGTAAGCACAACTGCCGTTTTGTGCCCACTGTCTACAATGTTCAGTTGTTTTTTTAGCGCTAGATTTCTTGGTGCCGAGTCGCTCAAAAACACTAGGTCTATTAGCTAGATCTTTTGACTTCGGTAATTCGACAGTAATTTTTCTTTTTCCTTGTTTTGACATTATAAAGAAAACACATTGGTCTCACACAACTAAAAGCAATTAAAAACACACATTTCCACCGGCGCTAATAGAGCAGCCATTGTTATTGTTGTTTATGGTCAAAATATGAGAAACAAAAAGTCAAAATGAATCAGAGAGTTTTCTATTAACTTCTTTTATACGAAACCAGCAAAGATTAAAAGCCATACTGCCTCATCAATGCTTTTTTTTTATTTAAAAACTGTAACTTATTCAACTGAGTTTCCTGTGATTTTTTAATGAAAAGATTAAAGGACATAATTATTTGTCTTTTGTTCGTAATTATTGTGTAGTTGGGGTCACTCTTTTCTCGTATTCCGTCCGTGCTGAATGAACAGAATACGAGGATGAATTCAATTTGTCAATTGGCTTAAAGGACTCGTATCCAGGCCAAAACTCCAAAAAAAAAAAAAATTCAATTTGTCAAAATGTCAAACAATCTCCGACTAGCTTATTAATCTGTGTCTGTGTCAAACAACTACCTAACCTATAAAAATACTGTTTCTGTAATTCTGTTTATTTAAATCGCTATTATATAGTAACTTACTATTTTAACAATCTTCTACGTTACCGATAACATTAAAGTTTAACTTGTGCCCTTTCGATCTACTCTGCAGTACATAATGCCACTGTTGGACGGTAAAGAAATCGACATATTTTTTGTAAGTTGTCAGGCCTTTTTACGTAAATAAAAGTAATTTTGTAATTCAATAAGCTGTTGTCGTTACAAGACTACTAAATCATATGGATTAACCCATGTATATGTGTTTTAATATGTACTTGTTTACATCTGTTAAATGTTGAATATTAGTGAAGCTATTTAATTGTTTATTGATAGAATTACTTTAAATGTCCCTAATATATTTTTTGAGAAGTAAGTATGTCAATGTTGAAAAAGTAATCACCTATCATCCACAAATAATTTTCAACTGAACATAGGCCTCACTTCTCCTTGATATTAATATTATTCTGTTAATTTTCAGAGTGAAGAGGATTTGCCTTATGAAGAGGAAATTCTAAGAAATCCGTTTTCGGTAAAACATTGGCTAAGATACATTGAACATAAGAAAGCTGCTCCTAAACATGAAATTAACATGATCTATGAGAGAGCCTTAAAGGAGTTGCCAGGATCATTTAAGCTTTGGTATAACTATCTAAAGTTACGAAGAAGTCAGATACGAGGGAAATGTATTACTGATCCTTGTTTTGAAGATGTGAACAATTGTTTTGAAAGATCTTTGGTATTTATGCATAAAATGCCTAGAATTTGGATGGACTACTGCACTTTTCTCACTGATCAATGTAAAATCACGATTACAAGAAAAGCTTTTGATAGTGCTTTAAGAGCTTTACCTATAACACAACATCATAGAATATGGCCTCTTTATTTAAGCTTCTTGAAAAAACATGATATATCTGAAACAGCTGTAAGGGTATTTAGAAGGTACCTTAAACTATGCCCAGAAGATACAGAAGAATACATTGATTATTTAATTTCTATAAACAAATTGGATGAAGCTGCAGTAAAATTGGCTCAAATAGTAAATAATGAGAACTTTCAGTCAAAACATGGTAAATCAAACCATCAACTATGGAATGAACTTTGTGAGTTAATTTCTAAGAACCCTGATCAAATCCATACTTTGAATGTGGATGCTATTATTAGAGGTGGACTAAGACGCTATACCGATCAACTAGGTCATTTATGGAATTCATTGGCTGATTATTATGTAAGGAGTGGTTTATTCGAAAGAGCTAGAGATATTTATGAAGAAGCTATCCAAACTGTAACTACTGTACGGGACTTTACACAAGTATTTGATGCATATGCTCAATTTGAAGAACTTAGTTTAAGCAAGAAAATGGAAGAAGTTGCCAAAAAGCCTAGCCCCACTGAAGATGATGACATTGACCTAGAACTGAGACTTGCTAGATTTGAGTATCTTATGGAAAGAAGACTTCTGTTACTAAACTCTGTACTTCTAAGACAAAACCCACACAATGTGGCTGAATGGCATAAAAGAGTCAAACTTTATGAAGACAAACCTCATGAAATTATTGATACATATACTGAGGCTGTGCAAACAGTAGATCCCAAACTTGCTGTGGGCAAATTATATACTTTATGGGTTGGTTTTGCAAAATTTTATGAAAAAAATGAACAAATAGAAGATGCAAGACTTATTTTTGAAAAAGCAACACAGGTTAACTATGCCAAAGTTGATGATTTAGCATCAGTTTGGTGTGAATGGGCAGAAATGGAAATAAGACATGAAAACTATGAAGAGGCGCTCAAACTCATGCAGAAGGCTACAGTTTTACCTAGCAGAAAAGTGGCATATCATGATGATACTGAAACAGTACAGATGAGGTTATATAAATCTTTGAAGGTATGGTCTATGTATGCTGATCTAGAAGAAAGTTTTGGGACATATAAATCATGTAAGGCAGTATATGACCATATAATAGATTTAAAAATTGCAACACCACAAATTATAATAAACTATGGTCTCTTCCTAGAGGAACACAATTACTTTGAAGAAGCTTTCAGAGCCTATGAAAAGGGCATAGCATTATTTAAATGGCCGAATGTTTATGACATTTGGAATACTTACCTAACAAAATTTCTTAAAAGATATGGAGGTACAAAACTTGAAAGAGCGAGAGATTTATTTGAGCAATGTCTGGAACATTGTCCTCCACAATTTGCGAAATCTATATTTTTACTATATGCTAAATTAGAAGAAGAACATGGTCTTGCAAGACATGCTATGGCAGTTTATGAACGAGCGACAACTGCTGTACTACCAGAAGAAATGTTCGAAATGTTTAATATTTACATAAAGAAGGCTGCTGAAATTTATGGTGTACCTAAAACACGCCAAATATATGAAAAAGCAATTGAAACACTTCCTGATGAAAAAGCGAGGGAGATGTGTGTTCGCTTTTCTGAAATGGAAACACGTCTTGGGGAAATTGATAGAGCACGAGCAATATATGCTCATTGTAGTCAGATGTGTGATCCCAGAATTACAGCGGAGTTTTGGAATACATGGAAAGAATTTGAAGTAAGACATGGAAATGAAGATACTATGAGAGAAATGCTGAGAATAAAGCGCAGTGTTCAGGCTACATATAACACACAGGTCAACATGATGTCTGCTCAAATGTTAAGTTCAGCAGCACAAGCAGCTGGTACAGTTTCTGACTTAGCCCCAGGTATGAAGGATGGTATGAGAATGTTAGAAGCTAAAGCTGCTGAAATGGCAGTTCAAAGTAAAGGTAATATTGCATTTGTGCGTGGTGAAACACAAGGTCTTAAAGAAAGTGGTGATAAAGTGGTCAATCCTGATGAAATCGATATTGATGAAGATTCTGAAAACAGCGAAGATGAAGGCGAACTTGCTCCTGTTCAGAAAAAAGAAATTCCAGCAGCTGTTTTTGGAGGTCTAATGAAAGACAACTGAACTAAATGAATTTGACTTTTTTATGTAATAGATTCGTTTTTAATTAAATAAATAATATTTAGTAATAAATCAACTTTTAATCATAAGCTAAGTTACATATACAATAAGCCATATTTACAACAGAAATCACAGAACACATTTCATTATTATTAAGATTGCTGAGACAGTACAAATAGAACAAGATTAGTGGCGAAAAATCGTGATGATTTAGGTTTATAAAGCAAATATTTATTGTTGCAACTATAATAGGAATTAACCAACGCAATACTATATAACTGAACAATTTGAAACTTAAATCATAAAATTTCAGAGAGTCTGCAGGCATAAATAACTAGAATTACCTAGGAAAATATACACAAATTAAAAAGATAAAGCAACAATTTGAATTACACATCTGTTTATATGATATCTCTGGGTGGTGTTATAAAATGCAAAGAATTTGAGTACATATTTTGATGCTCTGCATAATTTAAAATACTGATATCATTGTGAACACCACCAAACATTATTAGTTCCCCATTTCCTTTCACAAGTGAATACATAACTAATTCTTCAGGTGCCCCAGTCATTTCACCTAAACGAGGACAGAGCCATGCCACGTAATTAAGTGAATTACCATCAACTATAGTAGAAATATCTAAAACATGCATAGTCAAAGTATTTCGTTTGACTTTTTTTACTGCAGGTTGACTTGGTGGAGGATTTGGGGGAGAAGGCAAAGGTTCTCTTCTATTTTCTAAATGAGCTATCTGTCTTTGATTTATGAGATCATTTTCTGGAGGTGTATTATTTTGGGATGTATCACATGCAAATGCTGCCATCCTGTACTTATTAGCTTCTTGCAGTTGTCTTACTATTTTCATCCCTTTATTCTGAAAATAAAAAAATCCAGTAAGAAAAATATAGTTACCTACAAAGCAATATAGCATATACTACTTAAAATTATAAACATGCTATTTATTTTGATCTTTATAACTCCACAATTAGCTTTGTTTTTATAACAACTAAGTATATTGACTAAAACTTACAATATTTAATTAATGAAAATATAGTGCATGCTCACCTTATTTTTATTTCTTCTCAAAGCCAAATCTTTTTTGTTTATGTCTATTCCATTGTTTTGTTTTGAATCTGAATTGACACCAACAAGACGGCCATTAAGATCAGAATTATTTTCATTGCCAGCTTGATTGTGAGACCTTTCTCTTTCATGCTCATTACTGGGTCCAGCAACTGGTTCATTATTAGGGTTCAATTCTTCTTCTCTTGGTGGGTTTGATAGTCGTCTAGGCAGTACACCTCTTCTACCATTTATATTTTGATCCCTATCCAAAGGCCTTTGTAAACTTTGCTCAACTCTTACTGAAACTGGAGCTCCTTCGGGTCTACTCAATGCAGATAACCTTACTGCAGATGTAACCAAAGGTTTAGCACTGTTCCAACCATTTCTACTTCTACTTAAGCTCACAACCTTATCACCAACTCTGCAAGCAGGATTGCACCAAATGTTTGCAGATGCCCATTCTTTGTTTTTGACTGCCAGTTCTTTCCATGTCCACACTGGGCCTTTCATTGTCAGCACCCAGCAATCACTATATACAAAGCGGTTCTGTAAAGTCTGAACTCCCCCAAGGAGCATCAACCTGTCTGAATCCAAACTAATGAGTGATTGTGCATATCTTGGTGCAGGCCTTGGTTTAGTTGTAGGTTGAAGTCTCCAAGTGAGTGTAGGTATGTCTAAAACCCACACATCATTAGAACATTGAATTTGATGATTTTGAATTGGTGACATAATTAATCCTCCAAACACAACCATTTCATCGCCTTTCATACAAGCTGAATGTCCTGCCATTGGTGGAGGACAGTTTGTTGCATTTATTAAGATCCATTTATTTGTATTTACACAATAAAAGTGTATTTCATTGAACATTGTAACATTTTGATAATATTGAGATAGTGAAGGATATGTCCAACCTCCAAAAACAATTAAACAGTCTTTATAATGAACCATTGAAGTATATGCTTTTGGGACAGGATATGTGCCAGTAGCCAAGGGCCTTACCCACTGCCTAATGGATAAATCAAACCTCCAGAGATCATTAAATGAAGTTGCGTTAGTCGTGCAGCCTCCAAATATGTACATGTTATTCTCAAGTACACATGCAGCATGTGAAAATCGTTTGGTAATAGTGGGCACCATTTCAGTTGAAGTTATATTTTTCCATAATATTTTAAACTCTCCCACGGCTTTTATCAATTTTATTGATGTTTTATGTAAGACATCTGAAAAACAAATGTGTGGATAATGAAATCGCATTATTATTATAAAACAATACAGCCATAATGAATGACCGAGGAATATTCAACTTACTTTGAGAACAATTGTACCACCGTTTACAAACTATCATACAATTCTGTAAATCTTTGTAAGGTGGCAAAAACCCCAAAATAAATTCTAAAACTTCATCTGGAAGGTCTTCAATGGTGCTTTGCAAAGTTTGCTGACTCAAAGATTGGTGTATAATATCCATTTTTTATTGGGTGGGTTAATTATTTTATGTTCATCACATTACTTTGATTAGGAGAAATATCAGCAAAATGTTTGGACTCAAAATCGAAAACATTGAGATTTCTTTAATTGGAAATTATAATTGATTGAATTTGAAGACAGAATTTGACAATATTTTGTGCTTTTGGTGACATTTAGATGTTTTTAGTGAAGCATGACAGTTGACAACATAGTAAGATGCCAAAGTTACTAAGAAAACTTTGTAGTCTAGTGTTGTTTTTACAACCGAATTCATGAGTAGTTTTGTTTTGTCTTTACTTGTCATCCGTTTCCATAGATAGATCTCTTGATCTGTCATAAACTGACGTGAGTGAAGAAAGCGCGAATATTTAAAATTGTGCCTATTGAATGTGGCAGGCAACAATATATTTATCAGTTTTTGTTTAGTTACAATACTCATAATACATAAATGAATAAGTATTATGAACTGCCGTTAACGTTGATGACGAGTGTTGTAAAAATCTTCCGGACAAAAGTGGTGTTTTGACAGATAACCTAAAAGAACCGTGATTATATCAGCGTTGTAAATATTAGTATAAAAGAGACTTTTAACACAGTGTATATTTAATTACAAATTTAATCATGCAGCTGTTGATACAAGCTAGTCCATTAATAGATAAATTAAAACATTGGCACCGGGCTATATCTTTTAGTGAAGTCCAGTTAACAACTTCTCAGAAGGTCAGTATTAGAGAATTAACAGGGATAATATTCAAATTTGTATCAATTCAGGATATCTATTAATATTCAATTCTTTAAATATGTACACTATAAGATCTGTTGGGTATTATAGTTCCATCTAGTTTTATATAAAATAAACATAGAGATAAAAGATGTGAAACTAATGTGATCAAACAAATTACTAGTTTAAAGGTCACTTGTGGATAAGTACAAGTTACAGGGTCAAGCTTGTTTGAGTATATTTAGCTCTGTGCTGTAGTAATAACATTGACCCTAATAGGAAAAATTAAGTCATTGATACATTGCTTTTTATTTAAGTAATAAAGAATACCTAATCATATTTTTCAGGTTGTATTATGGAGCTTAGGAGTAGTAGGTACAAGTGCTGTTGTAGTTGGTGTACTATCAAGGTATCTAGCCAGACGACGAGCTAAACCCATCATGAACCCTCGGATTCAGAGGGCCATTAATAAAAGAATCTCCCGAATGAGGAGTCCCAATGGAGGTAATATGAATAATTTAATGTAATTATTATGATATTCAGAGATATTTGAGAGTAGATTCTGGTTGCCTTGATCAAAGTTTAGTATTATAGTAATAAACAAATATTTAAAAGTAAACACATTTATAGTTAAATAAAATACTACTTTGATTAAGAATTTTAATGTAACAGGAATGTATTATAATGGTATAATCAAGGTAATAATACTGTGGTATAATACAGGTTGGTAATACAATGAATATTATAATTCATAAAAAGGCAGAGATAGAGATAGTAATAAATACAGCATTGATTGTTTCATTCTTCCAAAATATGCAGATCAAACAAAGGTCCAAATATAACTTTTTCTTTAGGAATGGGGTCAGTAGCAAGCAGTGGTGGCCGAAGCAGCCCCTTGGGTTTTAGTGAACGATTGTCGCTTGCATCAGGATCCATCGGTTCAGGAGCTGGAGACGCAGCGCCGTTATCACCTCAGCAACTCGGAGTTATGGGTAAGTAATAATGTGAAATAGCGCCATCTATTATGGAGTAACGTAACTACTAAATAATTGTACGCTAAAAAATTATCTAGGAAAGATTGAGTGACTTAAACGTTGAAACGCGTTCAAACACAATTTAATTCGACCTACTAAAAGGGATTTTTCATAAATTTCATAAATTATAACTTATTTAATACTTATTTACTTTTTTAACTTATAATATTTTAAAATTTGTTCAGTTAATAACCAACGTTGTTAAGCCATAAATCGCATTTCTACAAGAAAATTTGATTGCTAATTAAAATTTTAAGTTTTTAAAAGAGGTAAGGTTGAGTTTCCTACTTATCAAAAACGTAGAAATGATGGGACATGACAAAATTTTTAGAGCGCCATCTCTTATCGAGTAGTGAAACTCGATCGTGAATTAGCTTTCTTACGGTCGGCGTAGTTTAAATATTAAATACTAGATGTCGCAATATTTAATCCTAACTAATATTATAAATGTGAAAGTAACTCTGTCTGTCTGTCTGTCTGTCTGTCTGTCTTTTCTTCACGCCTAAACTACTGAGCCGATTTCTGTGAAATTTAGTACAGACATAGTTTGGAACTCGAGAAAGGACATAGGATAGGTTTTATTCCAAAAATCTGCAGGAAGTAACTTTTCCACGTGAACAAAGTCGCGGGCAAAAGCTAGTAAGACAATAAAAAAATAAGAGATATTTTAATTATATTCTGTATGAAAACATAATTCGATTCCAGATAAATAATTTAGCGTTCCGTTTGCTTTGTGGGATGTAAAATTTACAAAAACAAGAGAATGCCATTTTTTTAATTATTGCCATACCATATAAATTGGAACATATTGATTGCATTCGTCCATAGTCGGTTATATTACGTATTACAAATTAAGCGCACGCCTGGCCAATTTCTTCCTTTATTAGATCTGTCAAAGGTTGATGATGATACATGTGCATGTCTTCATTTAGTCCTCAACTATCCTTCACTATGAAGTCTATTATGTAATACCTACATTGATTTTGATCTACCTATTTATCCATTATATGCAAGTCTTTTTAAATATGTCTTTAGGGAAAAAATAGATTTTTTTACTTCTTATGAGCTGGAAGACCTCCATATTTGATTTAGACTGGAGTAGGAGAAGAAAAATGGTGGTTTTAAGTCAGTAAGAGTTTGACTTCTTTCGCCACAACCTGGGCGAGAGAAGTAATTTGATGTATATCATCAATTACTTCTCTCGCCCAGGTTGTGTCGCAATATAATTAAAACCCTCTCAAAAAAGAATCGAAAGCCAGTTGTACCAAAAGGTACCTACTATTAAAATGATGCCTACTTAAAATCATAGATAATTTTATTTATTTTATTTTTGCAATTTTTAACTGCTTCAGTTGTCTCAGGAACAATAAGAGATAAATACACTTCAACTTATTTGGGCCACCCAGCTCATGTAGATACGTCACTTGGGCACTATGGCTTTTAAATGGCCCGTTAATAATAACATATTCGAAAATAATTATTATACAAGTATAATACGTTTTCGAATTGTCAAAATCGACAAGGTTTATTACGTTTTAATTTGCATCAATTTGCTTATAAACATACTTTTTACTTGAACATTAACTTGAAACAAATATTAAGAAAGTAAGTACTGTAAAAATAAATGAATGAAAGTGTATATTTTTGGCTGGGCGTCGCGTCGTCGCCGTAACGGGCACTCTGCCCATGAGTCTCGCTGTGACTCGAAAGGAGTTGAGATTTCCTCAGTGATGTCACGTGAGTAAGTCGTTATTTGCAAAAACCTAGTATGTCACACGATAGTTAGCTATTAAAAAAAACGAATAAAAGTGAGCATTTTTCTACATATGTTATCGAATTGAAAAGTCTAAATATCATTTTTGCCACAATAAAGAACGGAGTAGAGTAGGAATGTTCCGTGAGTAATCATAGTACGAGTATGATAGCAAAGGTTCTAGGTATGGATACCTACTTACCTACATACCACAGTATAAATATCATAGATATTATTCTATAATATCATAGATATTATTACCTTGCTACATACCGTTTTATTTAAATCACGTCTATATCTAGCGAGCCTTGACTGAGGTGATGCGTAAGTAGGTAATTTAATAAAGCTTCGTTATGATTCTAATCTAATTGCTAGTCTGTCTGTGACCTCAGTATACTTACATAGGAGTCTTCCACGCAGAGATTCAAAGAATATGAATATCAGCAAAGATTTGTTCGTAGTTTAAAAAAAATTATGACTCCACGGTACCTATTGCTGAGAAATTTAAAATCGTCAGTAACATCACCCCCTGTGCGAAAGTAGGGAGTCTGGAACTGGAATTTGAAGACCTACATACTGACATGACATGCTGTATACTCGCAACTCTAAGACATTTGCCTGCTTGCTTCTCTAGCGAGTAACTCGATAATCATATTTAATAAATCATAAATATCGTTATCAGCCATCACGACCGCCATCTTTAAATCTTCAGAACGGACTTTGTAGTGATTGCTAGGCTGTAGGCATGACCAGCAAGTTAAGGCGTAGGTTAATGACCGCATCATTTACGACTAGTGTCTGAACAACAGTCGGACACCTCTGTTCTTCATTAGGTCCATAGTTTACGAGCGTGCACATTCATGGAAGTGAAGTACCTACAGATTGCTTCTGGTACGTTAAGGCGATCGACGAGTTTATGACGTATGGCGTTCTGATTGGCTTGTTCCAAGTTAACCAACCAATCGGAAGCTTAAATGCGGTCACGTTTCGTTTTAATGTAAAACAAACTCGCACCATGGCGCACTTACAAACATAACTAGGAATGCACACACAACATAAGCTTAGTACAGCAAGGGCATATGGCCCGTTTGTTTCAAGTTTTTACTACTCTTAACTTACCCCAAGTGACATGTGGTCATCGGAGCACTTCTATATCTTCTTTTTCCATCCTCCTTTATCACAAAGTCCATAAACTATTCGTTTCACATATCCACCTAAATTAATCCATCTTTTCATCCGAATATAACCTGTTTGAACGCAAAACTTTTTTGTTGGTAGAGAGAGAGAGAGAGAGAGAGAGAAATATCTCGAGATTAAATTAATTATTCACCAATCCCGAAACATTGTGTTCAGCAACCAGGCTTGGGAATTCGCAACTTGCAATCATTCTAAAAACAAGACAATTCGAGCCAATTATAATAATATTATAGTATCGAATGGCTAGGCATGGTGGTTAAGTAATTAGTACCTACCTAAATATGTGTCTAGTGACACTTATCCGATCGTAGCAATTCCAAGGAACCTGAGTATCAAAGGAGGTACGCAGTATTCATATTTTAAATTAATTCCTGACGTCATCACCTAGTTCTGATGTCAGCTTCAAGCTGAACTCACCTTGACCCAGTAAAGTTACTATGTGCAGGTAAACAATGACAATATTTTTTTTTCACTACCTATGTATACGAGCTTTTAATCTACGTTTAAGGTTTTAATTTCCTGTTTACTTAGCGAAATAATAAAGGATTTTAGAACTTAGTAATAATAATAATAATATAATAATAAATTCTTTATTGACATAATATGAGGTTACAAAAACATATGAAGCCTCTGAAACCCAAACTAGGAAATAACCTGTATGTCAGGAATCAGCGCCTTCTCCCATTGGTTACACGATAATTTATGTCAAACTAGCTAGGTTATACAGACTGTTTAAATATTATATTTTAATATTTTTTTTTTTGAATGAGAGCATGCAAAATCTTAAAAATACGTTACAGTATACTAAAGTAAGTGAGTGTGTGAGTGAGTGAAAAATGAGATGTGTGCATGTGTGAAGTGAGTGTGTAAATGTAATTGTGAGTATAAGTCTGTTATGTATGTAAGTATGTTTTACTGCAATACTCTTTCTGTTTCCTCATAGTTTAGCATAAGAAGCCAGTTTTTAACCTTAGATTGACATTCGTGAAGTACCTATAGTGTTGATTTATCTTTTTAGTAGAATACATTTGTATGAACATTTTACCTACCTAAAGCACATGCCACATCTAAGCACCTAATTTGTTTAAATTTTTAGCGTTACTTCTATATTGCCTTACACAAGCGTTAATGAGTGATAACAATAAGCAGTTGTATATACCAGTAGCATAACCACTTGTATAATATAATTGAGACATAATCGTAACAGGAAATACCACTTTCCTCTCCATAACGTTTGAATGTCAAGGCTTCAGCTTAGATAACACCACCATTTACCAAGTGAAAACAATATCTGATGGCATTTACACAAACTGGAACATTAGTTACGCTTTGTAAACTACATAATGTACCTATTAAGTCCAACTACTGTTTGAACGTATACAAGTACAATATTCGAAACAAGATATTTGCCTTTCACCGCAAACCGTTATCAGTAATGACGTAAGTGACAGTAACTTGACGGCCAGACGCAATCGCTAAATTCGACTTCAGTTAATGTGGCTCGTTGGTCTAGGGGTATGATTCTCGCTTTGGGTGCGAGAGGTCCCGGGTTCAAATCCCGGACGAGCCCACTTTTTGCTGTTCTTTGTAGATATTTTTATAAATCATTTTGATATTTTCAAAGGTTTTATGATTGAGATTTACATATTTCATCAAAAAGTCAATTATTAACACTCTAAATCAGTACGCGAAAACCCATAATATTGTTTTTCATACTTTTTTACGTATTTTTTGCTATGTTTGCATTTACCGAACGCGGACGAATCAGTAATCTTTGCTATGTGTACACAAAAAAAGCAACAAAAAATCTGAAAGTACAATGACACGCAGCGTAGATATACCCGCGTCTTACCTACTACTGTTACTAAGGAGAAAAAAGAACAGCGTACTCTTTAGAATGTACCTGATCCTGATTCTAGACGCAATAATTAAGTATGTACTTACTTAACGAATGTGATACTGATAATCGTAATCACCTTTGCAATATTCATACTTTCTAGTTACGGGACAATAGCCGTAATCGACTCCCTAGGGACCATCGACTAGAGACCCGAGGTGGCGTGAACAAATCCTTATTCCCGGCACGTGCCGACCTACTGACACCACCCGTACCAACGGATGACGACTGATTGCGAGATAAGACGATCTATATCACAAATCACAGCGACTCCCTATTGTGAAACGTCCTTAATCTGAAGGCCAGTCCATAAAACAACAACTATTATTTGACGGTTTTAACACCTGTTATATCTTTACGACCACAATAAACACTAGCTACTCAAATCACCATTAAACTCGGCATGCGAAATGTTTGCCAATTATGGTAGTGTTTTGTTTTGGTGCTAATATTATTATATATATAGTACTTTAACGATTTTTTTATAACGAAAACGAAAATTTTTATTATGGTGGGTATTAAGCAATTTTTCCCCTACTCATCAATAGATGGCGCTTTCTAGAAACGTTGAAACATTTCTGTTATAATGTAATATTACCTGGGGTACATTGTTTTATCAGACTTCCTTCAAATTAGTTTTGTGTTACTTTATATATATACTTTACATTATTAACAATTGTTTTACATTGCTGATACCATACAATAATTTCGACATGTCACTCACCGGCTCGTTGGTCTAGGGGTATGATTTTCGCTTAGGGTGCGAGAGGTCCCGGGTTCAAATCCCGGACGAGCCCAAATCTTTTTGTCATTTTTATTTCAAAATAGTTTAGTTTGTTTGAATTTTATTTCATTTTTAGATGCTTTTTTAGCCGTTACTAATTTTTCTGAAAAAATTGAGGCATTATTTTTTGTTTCTTTGGTTACTATTTAGGCTTATCTGTTTTGTATGCGCAATCTCTTTTCGTGATATAAGATATCAAAATGTTTTAAGTTTGCTTATGAAAGCATTTTCCAAGATATACAAAGCTAAGTCGCTGATCCCGACGATTGCACCCGTTTAGTAAACAAACGTTTCCTGCGGGGATCTCAAGGGAAAGCTTCTGTGATCCCTTTTCTTGTTCCGAACCCTTACATGTGGGGAATAATTAAAGCGCCTCCAACCTACCTTTGAACATGGCTCAGCTGAAATGTCTCCACAAAGGAACATGAATGCGCCTCGGGTGAAAAGGAACACCCACTATTTATGCAATGGTGTCTTTTTAGAGCTTCCAGCTTCTGCATCCGACGGGTCTTTATTGTTCCCAATATCTCTTCTCAAAGACGCTGCTATTGCTAAGCGTAGCAATTTATGAATAACTTCTTTTTCCGCCATGTGTATGGAAGTTTCTGGAAACACCAACGCGAAAACCACGTGATTAAGTAGCTAATAGTTTTCTCATTTTTTGTGTTATTTGTGAAGGTACTTCATATATTACAGCAATTTGTGAATCCAGTACGTCTTTGTGGTTTTATAAAATTACCTACATATTACTACTTACTTATGTTAAAGTTCCAACTCTTCTAAGATTTAGGTACTAGTCTTTTGTAATGCCGCTAGAGGTGTCCTCAGAATAAAGCGTTGTTGAATCACAATTTTACGCATGACTACCATCACATCATTGAATGTCTTTTGTTGTGTCATTTATTCTGCGAAATTGTTAAGTCTTGTATCTGCCTAACAATAAAGAACGTGCTGCAGGGGTAATCCCGAAATCGGTCGTCAGAAATTTCGGGATTATAGCACAGCATTCTGCATAGATACAGGTTTCGCCAATACGTAACTACATAACCATATTGGCTGTATTTATGCTTATACAAATCTCAGTTTCTCAAACATGTGTGTAATTTTTAATTTCAACAATATGGTTTTGTTTATGTAAGTACTATGGTTATCAGAGATTTTAATTGGGTCGATATATGTTTAATAGTCTCTAAGCATAGGATACATTTATCCTTTAATATATACTAATATTATAAAGAGGTAAAATTTGTAAGTTTGTATGTAGGGGGTGGTAATATTTGGAACCGCTGGTCGTATTGCGAAAATTCTTTCACTGATAGGTAGCTACGATGTTCCTGAGTGCTATAGGCTATAAAACATCACGCTACGATCAAATGGAGCAGAGCAGGGGGTGAAACCGCGCGATAGTAGCTAGTTGAAAATCTTGAGACTTCTTACATTTTTATTGCGACCTGGTATCCTTGTCCGAAGTTTTAAAACGAACATAACGTACTAATACTTATTATTAGTACCTCGGAAATAATATGGTCGTTTTGCAGGATTTTACGGGTGGATGATCGCCGTTGCAAAACGATCGGTGCTAGGAAAGAAATGTCAGTTCCATGAACTTTCAAACGGACGGCATTTGCAATAAAGTGGATCTTTAGATGTCCAAATGTCAAGGAAAATAATCACCATTTGTAATTATTTAACATTTATTCATATTCATGCTTTCAATTATATATTTTTGTCACCAAATTGCTCCCCTGCGTGGGCGATCTTATTAATCCTAGATATCATCATCAAAAATGGCGGTATACTTTTACCGCACTTGGCTTGCGTCAGTAAGCTAAAAATAACTTCCTTAACGTTTGTCCTGATGAGTCACCGGAGTTCGGTGCCCATCCCAAACTTGAAATCGGACAACTTTTTGCGAACTGCACACAATGCACACCCCTTGCTTTTTAAGACCCGTAACGATTGTGTTTAATTCTTGGTATTATGTATTTATTATGGACTTATGCGTAGACATTTTTCAAACATGGGAGGAAAATGAAGACACTTTAACATGCCTATTAAAAGATGAAATTTTAAAGGCATTATCTAGTCTCACACTTTTTCTTTACGCCACTTTACGTAAATATTATCCAATATAGACTTTATTACCGTGTAAAAAAAAAATATAGTTTTAAATACAGTAATTTCAATATCAAAAAGTCTAATCATCAAAATCAATTTAATAAACTAGTTTTTGCATTGAAGTCAAGGCTTAGAGCGATTTTAATTGCTTTTAATTCCAGTAAAGGTTATAACTTTCTGAATAGGTAATTAATGTCGCAACGTCTAATACTATTCGGATGTTGCATATCTCGTGGGAATGTCATTCAGTTACATTTTGTATACGAAATATTCACAACATTTCCAAATTCTCATGAAAAAAAACGATGTTCTCAAGGATTTTTGCGATTTTAATAATAAACAGAATTGTTTGTATAAAAATAAACATGATTGTATTAAAATATCGATTCTAGAAAGATGAATACAGTAATCAAACGTTCCATACATTGGAATTCACATAACGAAATGTATGAAGTGTGTTATTTTCAGTTCTGAAACGTATTCATAAATATTTCATTCATGTTTATTTGATACCAAATATTTATACCTACATAACATACTTCTTGAGACCAATTACGCTTGGCAGAAATGATTGCCTTTCTATTGAAGAGATCTCATTTCGTCTTCAATAAAATGTATAGAATTTATAATAGAGATAATCTGGACGTACCTATTTTGTTTGTCAGTGTTTTAACGATGTGCCTCGTTAACTTTACTTGTGGGCGGGAAAAGTTGATCTAATTTGATGATAGTTTGACGTAAATAGGTGTTGTGGAAGTTCTTTCTCTGTACATAATGTACGAAATAAGATATAATGTAATAAGAATAAGATATAGCGAAAGAGAGCCAAAAGAGTATATCTACTTAAGTCTACATCTAGCTTAAAGTTCTGTTCTCTAATGTTGATATTAACATTAAGAGAGCAGAAGCAATATATTTTTCTAACTGGACCTAAGTCGATGGCAGCGCCACTTGAACCTGCTTTGTTGTGTATAACTTTACCTTTATAAGTGTATCTATACTAATATTATAAAGAGGTAAAATTTGTAAGTTTGTATGTTTGTAAGTTTGTATGTAGGGGGTAATCTTTGGAACCAAAGATTGGTTTTGGCTTTGGTCGGATTTCCAAAATTCTTTCACTGATCGATAACTACAATTTTCCTAAGTGCTATAGGCTATAAAACATCACGCTACGATTAAATGGAGCCGAGCAGCGGGTGAAACCGCGCGAGTATAGCTAGTCTCTTAAAAACAATCATAATTTATCAATAACGAGGAAAACGACAAAGAATATTTCCTGTATACTATGAATGAATATTTTTTAATGATTGACATTCTTAAGAAGTGTTTCTTATACATTAAAATGCTTTTCATTCCATCACATTTTATCACGAACACATAATACCTACTTGAAATAAAAAATCGAGATAAAAAATTGTTTAAATGTTGACAGTGACAAAATATTAAAAATGAATTTCAAAGTAAATATGCTTAGGTACACCTGAAAATATATTTTATTAATTCATTTTTTATGTTCATAGATATGGAATAGGTACCTATTGTCATTATGTAAGGACACATTTATAAAGAGTCCCTTGGCCCATTTTGTTTGTTTAGGTAACTCGCAAACCTTATAATTTGTTTATTTACAAATTTTGCCCGTGCTATGTGAAAATTACCTAAAAATTAAATTACAAAAAAAAACGTGTATACGTTTTTCAACCAGGTAAATTATGATCTCGAATGGAAATAAAACCGTAAACCGTAAACTAGTACAACACAATATTTTATTACTTGTTCAAGTAAGCTGATACACGCTATAAACTAATAATATTGGCTCGTTGAATAGCACATTGATAAAACCTAGGTAAAGACTTTGTCATCGCAATAATGGGGTTTCTTGCTTTTCCGTGTGAGTAGACAGGCTGGCTTATGGTGGTTTTTTAAGGGGGGGAAAGACATCAAAGACTGCTCCTGCCCTGGCTGAGGCGAGAGGGAGTGTCAGACTCTTACTGACTAAAAGCCACCCGTTCCTTCTCCTGCTCCATACAGGAGCCGAGGTACAATGTTGCGTATGACCCACGACCTTAACATATAATTCGACGTTTCAATACAATAAAATATTGAAAAATAACTATACTTTTATTCATCTATCGATCGATACACTGAATTTTCGTTATTTTTTAAGAAAAAAGTAATGTATTTGACACAAAAATACTATGTCATAACTTCATAACTCAGTTTTTCATACAAATTTCATAGAAAAGTATCGTTTTTGACATTTGGATAAAAGTTTTGAATTTGACTAAGTACTTGGAAACTACCGTATTATGTTAGTGGATGGTTACTTTGTCTTCCTAAAAAACAACTGAATGGATTTTGTTGTAAACGTCGCATACTAATTACTTGATAACCACAAAAAGCTAAGAACAAACCTACATTATACATAAAATACGTAGGTATGTATTAAAATAATTATTCTCATAGATAATGACTACTACGTAACGTGACAAACTCGTCATGAGACTCCCAAGTCCCGATAATAGAAACGGAATATTGTGTCACAACAAAGAAGTGTCACAATGGTTAAAATGCCTATACGATATGGAATGTCTCGTCCATTATAAATTAAACCGTATGGATCCACCGTTAGTTTACTAGGAAATAATAACAGGGCTCTCAGTAAATGGTTAGGTAAGTGATGACGCGTGTTTGGTCTGGCGCCGGTGACGGATTGGTGCCGTCAACCACGCTATAATGGACGGGATCTGTAATGGACTAGCTTCTTTATACATACAAATAAAACGTAGTATAATATACTATTATTTAGGGTTGCTTGATTATTCACCAACTCTTTATGTAGTTTACGGAATGGTTTAGTTTGTTTGTATTCTTTTTAAATAACAACTACTCTGCTTTTGCCCAAGCATTTAGGCCAAATTAGACCCAAACCTACCTTTTGACTGCACGGTTGGCGCGGTGGCTGACGCGCGACGTGTCGCGGGTTCGATTCCCAAACGGAACAACTCTTTGTGTGATCCACAGATTGTTGTTCCGGGTCTGAGTGTGATGTGCATGCGAAATTGTATGTTTGTAAACGCACCCACGACACAGGATAAAATCCTAATATGGGCAACGTTAATCTTAAAAAAAAAACTTGCATTTCAATAGGTTAACAATTCTGAATTAAAATGTTTAAGAACATATGTCTACTATTACGCACTGTTTAACCAATTTACGCAGAAGCCTGTAGATTAGTAAGTATTCTTTGGATACATTCTGAAGCAATCTTAAGGTCTCGTGTATGATATGATGTTGCGTCACAATACTTTGAATTAACAGTGAGTTAGACCACATCAAAAGCCAGTGAATAATAATATTACTTACATTTTATTAGCACTAGCCCTATAGCCACAAATGCAATAATAACTTTAGGTACTGATAGCAGCTACCTTTTATGTCCCGACAAAACCACTAAGTATGTATATTTATTATTCTGTAGGCAATTCAAATGCACATTTTATGATTATTTATTATTATTAATTTTCTACAAATAAATAAGTATTCATTAATCACGCAGTTATTTAATTAATGAATAGGTTTTACCAATCTACCCAACAACCTCCGGTAACCTCACTCACACGGCGAAAAACAACGCTGTGGTTATTTCACGCCGGTATTCTGTGAGACCGTGGCATCACTCCGGTCGAGCCGACCCATTCGTACTGAAGCTTGGCTCTCCCGCACTTACGTGGACCTGGTGAATCCTAGTCTAATATGTCCTAGATCGGGTTTGACTTTTTTTGAACCTTCGTAAGGTACATCAAAAGTAAAAAAATCTATATCTTTTCGAAACACAATGTAATAAGCAATGTATTTTTTTATATGCTGATACTGAAAGTTTTCTAATTTCGGATTAGTATTCGATTGATGTTGTTGAAATTTTCAAAGTGGAAGGTTATTTATTATTATACATATGTGTAAGCCATTATAAGCCATTTTTCCTAACCGGTAACTGAACGTTAATTCACGAGCGTAATCTTTCTTGAAAGGCCTTCTGGTGTTTCGGGTGTCCATGGGCGGCGCTGATCACCCACCTTCAGGTCATCACTACGCTCTTTTAGCTCCTTATTATTCAAGAACCAAAAAAAAACTCAATCAGTTCACCAATTGTACAGTCACTCATTAGTTTGACTATTTGTGCCACGAAAATCATAGAAAAAATGGTGTGAAATTTTTATTAATAAATTGTAGACCCTTATCTAATCTACTAGTTACTTTATTATGCAAGTCAAGTGGCATGAACTCGTAATATTTAATTATTAGGTAAGTATTGTGTCTACGCACGCAACCAATTAATTGTTAATTTTTATGTTAATGCTTCCTAGCTGTATACAGATTTACATAAAAACATGATTGAGTGCTAAATTAGAATAACCTTTTGGTCCAATTTATTTAGTGTAAACTTTTTCAAAACAATATCTTGTCTACACCTACCTATGGTAATTCATACCCTTTGTAGAAAACCAACCGTATTACCTGCGTATTAAAATTCTCGTGGCCCAGATAATTTGCGTAGAAGTTTTTCCAAAGTAAATTGAAATACCTACGCATTCCTTCTTTGTTCCGTTGAGCGTTGCCTTTAAAAGTAGGAACACAAACTATAAAGTATATGTACCTATAGGTAGGTGTAATGGGTGCAAACACGCCCCAGCCCTTGTGAAGGCCATGAAATACTTCCTCGGAGGGAGTTTTCTAGGCCCCAGTATTACGAGGGTACGGACAAATTTACTTTTTACGATCATATCAACGCTATCTCAACATTTTATATGTGTGATATACAACGCATAAAGCTCTACTTGACGAAGTGTGCAAATTCATACGGTTAATACGATTCATTTATAAAGTTTCCTTCCTTACACCCTTTGGGCTTTTACTTTTTTTAGTCTGTGGCGTAAGGGCGTCATTATCGTTCCATTAAATTAGGTGTCTCACGATACGTTGTTTACACTTTAGCAAATACTTAAAATTGGCTCAATCAAAACAAGTCATTGACCTTAACGTTTAAAGAGTAAATTAAAAATAACATAACGTATATATCACACGTGGTTAATCCCTACAGAGTTATTAGGTTCACTGTTTACCCTAATTAACGGCAGTTAGTTATTAGGAGGTGAGCCCATTTCCATGTTCCGTACTCCGGGGACGTTACTAGTCATTGCTATGATGTTGCAAATGGAAAATACAATAATACTTTACTCCACCTTTAAGAACTCGGAGCTGCCTCACTCTTCGCATAGCTGGTACACGTTAAAAATATTAGAAAAGTCTGTAATCTCTTAAAATTATGGAGCCTCTCCAAAGCCCAAGTAAAGTACTCAGCCTCATTATGGGTCGTCTTGGGCTTATTTTTTGTTAAGCTTTCCATAGTAATTTAATCCTAATAACTGATGGTAAGTATTTTTCAGTGTTTTGATGTTAACCTTTAAACAAAATAGCCTTAGTTCTCGTAATGAAATTCTGCAGGAAATAAGACCTTACATTTCAACTTTCTAAATATCCTGTATGGGTTGTACATGGGTTCCTATAATTTAATTTTGATTTATAATTCTCCTATGGTAATGATATCTTGCTTGATCTTTACAACCAGTTATTATTTAGAACAGACAGTATCAACGTACTTAATAACTGGTTGGACATATTTGTAATTAATTATGTTGTATATTGAGCAAAGTGATCTCTAAAAACGCGTGTACACGATTCGATTGACTTTGTATAATTCTTTCTTATACGTATTGATGGTCCCGTGAATATTTTCCGTGTAATATAATTTATAATCGGATTTAAAAATAAAAATAAACCATTTGGATCGTTTTAAAAGGGACGAGTGCCCATTTTTTTGAATTGCTATAGGTACCTAATTCTTTCACGGTCCGTTAAGTCAAATACAATGAGACCCGTAGGCGCCGTGTTCCCCCTGGCTCCGATGTCGAGACGTCTCACACTAATGCGTCTGCAAATCCCATACATTCGCCAATTCGAAACAACATACAAAACAAACCTTATAAACATGCAGGTGCATCTGATGGATATTTTTCCAGACTACAGTAATGGCTTTTTGCCACCGTTATGTTATTGTGTACCTTGGAAGGTAACATGATTCTGGTTTTGCTTAAATCCTTTTCCATTTTATTCCTCTTTGCATCCAATATATTAGCAGTCAGTATCTTTGTAGTATAACAAAGTTTTCAGTAGGGATAACATTCGAAATAGATTATGATTTCAACATCTATTTGCTTACCCTCAGGCCCATTAGCTTACCAATCCAAATAATGTTTTCGATATTATGCTCCTATCGGAAGATTGTAATAAGGATAAAGAGTTATTGATAAATATACCTATACTTACCCACATAAACAAAAAACTTAGTATCATCCTTAGATAAAAGATTATTTCTGATTAAATCTTCACTGCGGCTAGGTACATTAAAGAGATTCTTTATCAAAGTATTTTTAGAAATCTAATTTGAAAAGTTTAATCATAGTCAGATCCCGCTGACGGATCTAGAAATTATCCGCTTTCCGTTCTAACTTAAATGATCGGCTACCTATTTAGTTTTAACATTCATTATAGAAAAAGCTATAGTACTGTTAAATGAGCCATACTTTTGAGATAAAATGGGGTTACAAAACCAATAATAGACATTCCGTTAATGTTTTCTTCTAGCTAAAAAACTCTAAGCTATTCCGCTTCACTGGTAAACATCCTCCAGGTATTGCTTGATTTTAGACTTGATCAGGAATAACATGGATACATATGAGCTTATCCCGCTTCCTTGACCACACAAGGATAAAGCAGAAGGCGCAGTAGGCGTCTACGATAATATTTTATTACACGATCTATGTTGAGTGGTACGCGTTGCCCTGACATTGAGATAAATGAATAGCTGAATACCAAGTCTCTCGGCTGTACCATGTATTGTAGATGTCGTGGGAATCGGTTGAACAATTCAAATAGATATCACTTAGAGATGACGTCGTCAGTATCAATTTGCATACGGGTGCGGCGAGATAATTCTAGTTTGACGCTTAGATCATTCTTTCTAAGTATAACCGTCATAAGCATGATGTTTATATTCGTGTCGTTATTATATTCATGCAATTTTAATCAACGTATGTTTAAACTCAAAGATCATATTAGTTAGGTAAGAAAAAATAAAATACCAAAATGTTTCAGTTACACTTTAATGAATTTAAACAAAGTAAACTTACATGGAACATCACAATTATGCTTCGCAAAACAATGTTGATGTCACGAGATTCATTGTTAAAATATCTACCCGATTAGCAGGGTCTATTTCAATTACATAATTATAGGTACAACAATAGAACATGCCTTAATATTATGGAATAGATTCTCTACCTAACGGGAAGAAGCAATCTCCTTAAATATTAGACGTTGAACATACAGGCCTCGGCTTTGTTTAGTAAATATTATTAAATGTTTTGCAATAAATCCTAACATTAATTTACGACATCAGAGACAAAACATATTTTGAAGCTGAGAATGTGACCAATAAATATAATTATGATTGTAATAATAATATTTAAGTCTTATCCAATAATGGTACGCTAGGTGGGACGTTGATTTAACGTTAATTTTTAAAATTATTATTAACCAAGAATATACCATGTGTGTTATTAAACTAATATAAATTAGCATTCTGAAGAACGCTTAGAACTATAGGGAACGGTCTAGGTTCGAAATAAACTAAATGGGATGAAGATAGATCTCTTACCATTAAGGCGAACACTTACAATCGATCAATTCATACAAAAATATCATCCATTTTCTTTACACATTGACAAAAGTTCGCTAAGCATACTACTACCAAACGATGCCAAATCTATTAGAATCTACATACATGTTTCTAAGAACTATCAAGAATAGTGTGTTGATTCGACGGAGGGATGCAATTTGGATTAACGCCTATAATAACAAACGTAGGCAACTTACAAAGTACAACTTTGGCTTACTTATCAAAGTTATCGTCAGTTACACCTCACGTCACGTGCTTTGAGTAATATTCCTTCTAGTGTCACTACGCATTTGCCTGAACTAAAGCTTATGTATAACTAAAATAAAAGAGAAAAAAAAAACAAAATAAATTATTTGTGAATAAAACGCTAGCTATACGCTTTAAAGTAATAATATCTCATAATTCTGGATCTTTAGACTCTTGTAACTTAAAATTAAAAATAACAATTAAAATTAGGAAATAGAATACTAAAAGGTAAGAGGTACTAAATGATGTGCTTAATCACTATTGCGCGTAAATAAATGAACTGTGCGTCAAACTGTTCATCGGGAAAACGAAAAGGTTCAGTTATTGATATTTCATTGCAAACAATCGATTCGTCGAATTGTATTCACAAATACACATAGTCCAGACTGTAAAAAGCGAAATGAAGCGGGAACAACGAGTTTGATAATCAATTAGGTCCTAAGTTGTATTAATAATAATAGGTAACGGAATACGTTAAATAAATTACTTAACTTTTACAGTGAATATAATTAACAATTACTCAAAAACATGGCTATAGCCTTAAGCGAAAAACAAATTAATCGAACGAACAGTATTTAAAGTATAGAAAACGTCTAAATATTGTTTTTGTACATTGCAACATTTAAAATATTGACGGTAACGTTTTATTTTTCCTTAAACGTGATTTTGTGTTTTGAAATTCATTTTGATATCACAACGATGGGCTTACTGTCCTGAGAATATCCAAGATAAATATGTTTGTGTGATTTTATTACAGCTTGTCATTGGTAACAGTTCCTTACTTCACTCGGTATCATTATCCCTATCTACGATGTTTCCACTGTCATTACATATAATGACAGTCCTCCCATGCCGCTCTGCGACTTCCATATCAGTTAACTATTTACAGATATATCTATATACAGTTATGCGATTAATTTTGGCTCCTCGATTTACATATTGGAATGAAATCACATAACAGGAATGTCAAGTAAACAAAAATATTTATATTTACATAATTTGACCGAGGAAAAGGTATTTATCCGTGCCTCGCATTATAAACAACAGCATCAAGCTCAGTTGCCAAAACGTACGTACATATAAACGACAAAGCAACTATAAATTTAATGATATTTATCTCGCTATTTACAAAGAATTCAACTGTAATCTCTAAAGTAAAAGTATGATCGCTGGGATAAATAACGTGAATGTAACAATTTTCATTGAGGCTGATCCGCTGGGGTTGCTGCCGAGTCCGCCCACTACAGACTTTTTAATATCTTCTTTTGGCACCGATCCCTTAGTCATTCCTTCACCGCTTTCATTAATATCACTGCTGTCCATCTGTTCAGGGTGATCGGGCTTCTTCATAGCTGCCACGTCATTTTCCTCAGGAACTGGTGGTGCAGTCTCTGGTGGAGGCGTCGTGGTCGTGGTGGTAGTAGTTGTAGTCGTTGTGGTCGTTGTTGGCACCAACGTATTGTTTGCAAGGAAATAAATTTCTCCATAAATAGCTTCTACTTCTAAAGTGTTTTCAATACGCTGTCCTCTCATTTGTCTGGATCGAGAGTCGTTATCTTTGTAGTAAGTGACCAATGTAGCAGTATACTGTACGTCACGATTGGTGAGGTTACCCCTAAATGTTACATTGCATGCTGTTCCAGGTTCCAGATGTTTTTCGAGTTTGTATAGCAACTTGGGCCTCGATTCTGTGTATGGGTTCGCCCATTGTATTTGTGGAAACAACGTGCCGTCATCCAATTCAATGGTTGTATTTAGCCCGATGGCTATCCCATGTCCGTAATCCCATGATAACGTATAATTGTAACCGTATTCGATTTCTGTTGTTACGGTAGCAGCAACTTCATCCTCATTCTTTAGAATTCGTTCTTCGAATACTTCGGGTTCTGACTGACGAACATGTTCAGTATCTCGGTCCAATACCACATTCTCTAACTTGTAACTTACAGGCTCAATTTCTTTTAGTATTTCCCCACTGTTTTCTATTATTTCATTATTCTTATCGTCAAAAGTAATTAATTGGCCGATAACATTTTCATAGGCAATTCTTCCAATGTAATGAGAAAATCCACTTGGGGCCTTCATTCTGCCAATAAAAACGGAATCCACGGATGAATCGACAACTACTCCACCACTTGGTTTGGCGTGAAACCTAAACCAGGGTATCCAATTGATCAACGATGCATTTTCAATATTTTCAAGCACCTCAAATAGATTATAACTTTTACTTCCTGATACAGCGCATGATGTGTAGTCTGGTTTCAATTGTCCTAGAATCATGTCGCCTTCATGACGTGCTCGGCAAAGATATATCGGACCTAGAAAATAAAAAAGAAATTAGGGATCTGTTAAAATTATGATACGAATAGTGATATCAGTATTTGATAATTATATGTATCAAACCTTGGTCTGATTCAGCCCCGACGACATAGTTGCTCATGGATTCTTTCTTGAGATTTGTCCACCGCAATGTGCTGGATGTCGTGACTTGTTTGAGTTTGGAGTTGTACAACCCAACTCCTGCTTCAGCCGATACTTGAACAGCAAGCGTGGCAGTTAGTAGCACCACCCACCATCCACTCTGACAATTTCTGTTTTTCTTCATTTTAGCACTGAAACAAAAAGAAAACAATAAATATAAATCAAATGTGTAATATTTATAATTTTTGTCTATAATCTAGTTTTCATATTCGTAAATAATCATTTCACTAAACTGACATGATGTAATATAATGTAAACGTAATATAATGTAAATCCGTTATCTATTTTTGAGTCATGGATAAATCTTGTTAAATTGTTATCCCATTTGACCTCAATATTTGCACAGAGCTATTTAAAAAATAGTTTTCAATAAACTTATGTTAAGGGAACTATTTATGAGATAAAAACGGAGGCCACGATATTTTCTGATAAAGTACAACATAAAAGTAACATTCCAGTCGTAAAAGAAAAATTAAAACTGCACCATGGGTAAACAAAGAAAATTGAATGTGGCACGTCTTTGTTTTCCAAGCGATTGTTTTTTGATAGCTTCGTAGATCGAGAGGGTGGAAAACAACTGACAAAGGGTGTAACTGCATAATCCAGAACAAATATACAGATTATCCTGTCTGAAATACAAAGTCTGTTGAATTTTCCTTTTATTGTCATCATGGTTAACATTAAGAATTTCGTAAGCTAAGTCCGGAAGTAGCGTCACATTTGTCCGACCCTCCAGTAATAAATTGCTGCAACCCCCTAATTTTATCTAGATGAACATTTCCAAGATATAAAAGCAGCCGTTTTCCTTGCTGCCTTTTATAATTGGCCGTAAACATGTTACCAACGAATTTGAGCAAAGATACCTGTAGCGCGACCTATGCGAAAATATTCGTACGAGAATATTACCATGCTCGAGGCTCTCGTTACCTGAATATCTTAAAAATATAACAGAAAACTGGATTGGTGGCAGGGCTGTGGTGGGTTTCGATCGCGCGGAAACTCAATTTCCTTGACAAAGTTACGTTACTGAAAGCAGATCGCGTCGAGTACAGCGATGTTGCCCCAAGCAAAGTGTTGATGCCGGAAACATCGTTTTGTTTTACATCAATTTACTCTGCATTTTCTCATCTCAAGGCTTACAATACAGATGATAAAATAAATGCTAGATCAATATTAGATGCAGTGAATTGTATGGAAGTGACAACGAAGGCAATAAAATAAACGAACGGAATAGTAAGAGCTGAGGAGGAGGTACTTAGACAGCTCAAGTAGATGGTACACAGTAGGTGCAAATCTCGGAAGCGACATTTATTTTCTGTTGTGTTTCTCGGATTCATTTGTTATTCTAAGAAATGTATAACAAATATTTAGAATACGTCAATTTATATTAAGGAAATAACGGTATTCATTCGCGTTGATACTCTAGATTATGAATTGTGTTTAGATTATTTCAACATTTTTAATTCGTCTGTATCGAGATTAAAGCAGAATAAAGTCGTAATGTTCGTTATTTATATCTCTCTAGTCTACATTTCTGTTTGCATACTCGACGTATATAATATGATGATTAATTGATCCTAAATTACAAGACACTTCATATAATTGTCGGTACTTAATAGCAAGGCTAACGTGTCTACTAAATGCTTTTTAATCATTACTCTGCTACAATTTTGAAATAAATAATACGAACTGCTTATTAAGGTGATCTAGGAGCGGTGTTTATTTTGTTTTGATATTTTAATTTATAATTTTAATTAATTTGTTAGTCAAATGTATGAGATAATCGTGACCTAAATCTCAGTAACAATCCTTGTATGTCTAATGTGTAGATGTTTCTTTTTATATTATTTTTCTAACATAATGTTTTCTTTTTTACAGGTAAGTTGAAAACGTTATCTACTACTTTATACAGGTATGTCCTACATAGTAACAAAGTGACATTGGTAAAATTCAGTTTGACAAAAATATACAAAGATATAAAACCTGTTTTGTTTGAACGCAATGATACAAAGTTTATTGCGGATATATTATTCAAAATGAAAGGTTTACTGTTATGTAAGTTTCGGTCGAACCGTAATCTCATTTTAAACATCCATAAACTCTAGTTTTTTACAAGGGTTTTAGATCACCGATAAATAATAATAGATCCACAGATTACGAACCAATAAATCATTGTTAGTGCTGCCACAGATAAAGTAAATTCAATTTAATAAGTTCAATTGGAGATTGACACGGACCATTCTGTGTGGCACAAATCCCGACCGTCCCTTTGTCGTTTGATCAACATTTGTGATATATAGCTTTTCAAATAGGGATCTTCCTTCATAAACTATATGTAATTAGTCACGGCAAGTTTATACTCAAATGAAACTCGAACAAATGTTGCTTTATTTCGTATCGGCAGATGTGGAGCTATAATTAAATTCGGTCGTAGGTTACGAGACGATAACACCCACTGATCATTCTCCTTAGAATAGAATAGAATAGAATATCATTTATTTCAAAGTATATGGTACATTGAGGTTTTACATTAAATGTTGTTTCACATACACTACCATTGCTGGTGTAGAAATATTTTGGTAATCATGCTTTTAAACGAAAAAAAAGGTAATTATAATAATGTCAAGCAAATTGATAACAAAAATTAAAAAAAAACATGTTTCAGTAAGTATATGATAGTAATTAGAAGTAACAATATTATTTGCGTCAAAATGGTAAAATATTAATTACAATGTCAAAAGCTAAATACAGTGTCAATATTCATGTCAAAAAAACGTGTACTCTCACAATACTAAACTAAAATGCTAAACACAATATGAATCAATGTAAAAGTACTAAATACAATGTGAAAATATTAAATAAAATGTCAAAACTTTCGATTTAAAAATTCATTAACAGAATAGAAGCACATCTCTAGAAGCCAAGTGAACATTCGATTTTTAAACTTACTTATTGGTAACATTTTCAAGTCAGGTGATAATTTATTATAAATTTTAATTGCCATACAATGTACATTATTGCTGTATAAATGCAATCTCTGTCTAGGTGCCTGTAGTTTTCCAGGATTTTTGTTATTTAACCTCACAGAGATCTGTTCATTTAAAGGAAATAAATGTGGGTACTTTTTTACAAAAAGACAAATTTCAAAAATGTATAAGCATGGCAGAGGAAGTATTTTTAGTTCCTTGAATAATGGTCTGCAATGATCTAAATATTCAGCGCCACTTATAGCCCTGATACATTTTTTTTGCACTATAAAAGCTCTTTGCACATCTACTGAGTTGCCCCATATCACTAAACCGTATCGCAACACCGATGAAACATAGCCGTGATAGGCGTTTAAAGCTGTTTCTTTACTGGATACTAACCTAAGCTTTTTTAGGGCAAACACAAACTTATCCAACTTGTTGCACACTCCTTCTATATGTTCTTTCCAGTTAAGTTTATTGTCAATTACAATACCTAAAAATAAAGCCGACTGTACTGGTTGTAAAACTGTATTATTATGTCGTATTGCTGTCGGTATTATTGTTGAGTTACATGTTTGAAATTTAACTAGTTTTGTTTTATTAATATTTACTTTAAGATTATTGTCTTCTAACCATTTCATTACATTTGTCAATTCATTATTAGTTTCATTTTCCATATCCGTTTTATCTAAACATTTTATTGTCAATGTAGTGTCATCCGCAAATTGGATACAGTTATGTTTTAGACATTGTGACAGGTCATTTATATATAATATGAAAAGCTGAGGGCCTAATACACTCCCCTGTGGTACGCCAGAGTTGTTATTTTTCAATTCGGAGCTATATGTCATTCTATAATTGTTTACAATTTTAGAGATAACAGTCCTTTGTTGGCGGTTGGACAAATAGCTTTTGAACCAATCTTGAGATTTACCTCTTATACCATATCTCTCTAGCTTGTAAAGAAGACGTTTATGTGAGACAAAGTCAAATGCTTTGCTCATGTCTAGAAAAACTGATAAAGTTGATATTTTATTATTAAGAGCTTCACTAATTAGTTTTACTAAAGAATAGCTGGCTAGAGTTGTTGAACTCTGTTTTCTGAAACCAAACTGATTCTCCACAATCAGTTTGTGTTTGTTTAGGAAGCTGGATATTTTATTATGCATCGCTTTTTCAAAAATTTTTGCAAGTACTGGTATCAGTGTAATAGGTCTATAATTGTTTAGATCGTTGTGTTTACCCTTTTTATATAATGGTTTAATTATAGACTGTTTCAGTCTAGTTGGAAAGACGCCTTGTTCAAACGAGAGGTTAATCAAGTAACTAAGCGGCTGTGCTATGATTTTCGCGCTTAACTTTATTGTTTTTGTGTCAATTTCATCGTATCCCGTAGAATTTGTGTTGTTTAAAGAGTTAATAATTTTTATTATGTCAGATTCGTTTACTGGAGTTAAAAATAATGTGTTTATATTAGCGGTCATGTTAATATTATTCCTATCCAAATTATTATTGAAATTATTTTTGTTTGACAGTTCAATGAAAAAGTTGTTAAAATGATTACAAATGTCAGTAGGGTCAGTAATTACTTTATCATTAATTTTTATATCGCTTATGTCATTTTTGTTAATATGTTTGTTTAAGGTATTTTTGATTACAGACCATGTGGCTTTACATTTATTTTTAGAATGTAAGAAATAATTAATATTGTTTATTTGCTGTGATTTTATTATACATTTCTTCAAAATATTTGTATATTGGCGATATTTTTTTTTATGGTAGCCTTTGCTTACAGCATTGTGTTGGTATTCATAATATAGCATTCGCTTTCTAATGCTAGATATCTTTAAGCCCTTGCTAAGCCATTTATTTTTTATTAATTTGTTGTTTGACCTGACTCGTATTTCTGGAAAACACAATTTATACAATAGAATAAATAGATCGTGAAATTTATTGAATGCCTTGTCGCAGTCTGTCTCTTCATACACCTCATTAAAACTAAGGGATTCTAAATATTGTAAGAATTTGTTTACATTATCCATATTAAAATCTCTTTTAGTATCATACCAAAATTTACAGGTTTTTGATTTATTTTTCATAATATTATGCAGGCGGAATGTTAATGTTTGGCCAGTATCATGATCAGAAAGTGCCAATTTATG